GGGTTTTCTTTATCACATTTCGATCGAAGTGTCCGCGTTTAGCGCGCGCGAGTTGGTCCCCCGACGAGAAAATTAAGCGTGCATGGCCCGCCGGGTAATTGACAAAGTACCCCGAATGGAGCGTAAAACAAACAGATCCGGGCAACAGCTCCTGCGAAATGTGTATAATCCGCATCAGTCCGTGAGGAGTTTCTATGGTCATCGCATGTTTTGAGGCGTGAAAGAGGATCGCATTACACACGACACTGTGGATAGCAAAAGGGGAAGAGGGGCTTGTAGGAAGCAAAGAACATGCCGAAAAGGTCAAGTGAAACCGGGCGAACATTTCATGGTTTGGAAAAACTGCAAATATAGTGCGTGACTACAGTTACCAGCTGTTATTAACAAAAATGGTATTTTGTTTGGCTGAACAGCGTGAGTTAAAACGAAATGTATTTCTTAATAAGTGTAGCTATCACTCCGCTACGCGGATGAAGATAGGAATGAATGGGTATAAATAGGAAGTGCTTTGTCAGCACGGGCCATCTGCGCACCGACAGGTTAGACTCCACTGACTTTTAATGATGGTTATTATAAATATCTCATTCATATCACAGATTCTTAAGTTAGGCGCTAAGATCGTATATAGTTGTGCAATGTTTCCCACTCGCAATATGCAAAAAAAACCAAAAATACAAACAACCCCCCCCCAAATATTGTCCAATGAAATTCTGGAAGCTATAACTTCCCAAGTCGTCTTTACGTTTAGCGGGGTTTTCCTGTCTATTTTCTAGGAAAGAGTTTTTATCAATGTCACCAGTTACAGACAAGCGCATCAGAGGCGTTAACGTTACTACTAAAGAATGAATTATCGTTATTAATGCATTATTATTACGATAGGATGATCCGTGATCCTTATAGCTGGACCCATTGTCGAATAAGTATTTTGTAGCAAATATTGTGTTATGTAAATATTGGATCCATGTTAAAGAAGAAGAAAGAAGAAGAAACTAGAAAGCACTGAGAGAGCCGAAACCTCCGCCAAGGCTGAAAAATTCCCCGCCATATTGTCAGCACACCCAAAAGAAATATCTCATATCGTGTAAGACAATGTTAGTTATTAAAAACAAACCCACCAAATCCTTAAACTCAAACATTTTGTAGTCTACATGTATATGTATATGTCTGTGTTGGTCTGACTCTTCACTCTCCCATTGTATAAAATGGTTTAGTCCATTGACCTGTGCGGTAAGATTACGTGGGTGATAAGGCATACAGGGTCACCGGGTCTGAGTGCACGCACACCAAGCTGCTCAGTTGTACACAGAGGTTCATGCTCTACACATAGCATATTCGCACATACTAATTAGAATCCTTTAAAAAATCACATCCTGATCCAGATCCGGATCACTTCCAAAATCTAATCGATTTGTACTTGTACCAAGGACCACCCCTGAAAAAAAATCATGGAAATCCGTCCATAAGTTTTGAGTTATCCTGCAGACAAACCAACCAATCAACCAACAAACAACAAACCAACCAACCAACCAACCAACCAACAAACAAACCAACGTTGATGAAAACATAACCTCCTTGGCGGAGGTAACAAAAGGGTCAGCAACCGCATTTCCTGTCGTTGGCCAATCCAATGTTTGATGTGATGTGCAGGTTAATTATTGAGAATCGAAAGTAGGATTACCTTACGCTTGGATAGGTTCATAATACCGATGAGAATGACGTTCATCATGTAGCCAGGATTAAATGTGACGCAGACATAATGTGTCGACGGGACTGACTCTCTCGCTGTGAAGTTGCTGCGACTGCACTTATTTTTGTTGTTATTTCTTGTTTGAAAAAAGGCCACGTTGCTCCTTCGACCTTTCGCCCACATTTATGAATAATAAATGACGTATTACTCACGTTTGACTTTTCCCACTAATTTTCCGAGTGCCAACTGAAGCCAACACATCACGGAGGGCTTAGGTGGTTTCAAGAAGGAGCACTTGAATATAAAATCTGCTAAGTTCTGGTATGCTAACACTCATACATTTCTATCCTGGTTTGACATCTCGCTAGTCTAAAATGACGACATGGAAGGGATATGTGGTAACCCGAAAATCCACGATTCAGCTCGAGTGTTTATATACAGACGGGACAACTCTGAAAATATTGACTTGTCTAATATACCTTGTTTAATTCTTATGCAGTTTTTTTCCACACAATTTTTTCCCTAAACAAAAACCTTTGAAAAAACTGTAAGTATTGAGCCCAAGGTAGGCTCTTTGGAAAATGAAGAGGGTCCAGATACAAAAGGACGTCTCTTGTTCAATCTCTTAACCTGCTCCGGAGGCACATTGATACCCACGTTTGACATGCCCTGAGCAAACGTACGAGGGACAATGCCGCAAGGGAATCCATCAACAATATTGGGGGGGGGGGGGATTGCCCGCCCTCGACCGCCCTGCCTGATTGGAATACATCACTGGACAGCCGTCCTTGCGTGCGACGCACTCACGCATGGTTCAGCACCTTCTCATTTCACCCGCGAATATTAGGCTCCAACAGTTTCTGCTCTTAATTTACCACGCATCTCAGTTACAAGGTCAGCACCCCACCTGACTAATGAGAGCCTAATTTCTAGCAAATCTTAATTCCAGGAAATCCTTCGGAATACATAAAAAAATATTTAAAAGTTGAAAACGAGACAAAGAATGAACCGGATTTGAAGCTGGAGCCTCCGGAATACATCACCGGTGCTCTATCAACTGAGCTATCAAGTGTAATGTACCCTTGCGTTTTTTTTTTAACATAAAAACAAATAAATACATTCTGTTTAGCTGAGACAGTTGCCGACTTCCGAACTTTGCTCGACAGGGTTCATGAGACCAGCAACAATACCAAGGACCAAAGTTATTGATTTTCACTCTCGAAGAGCAAGAAACGGCAACCACCTAAATACAATGAAACATCACTGGAACAGGTATCGCAGTTTAAATATGTTGGAGTGACACCATCCAATGCCTCCTCCTGCGAGATAAAACACTCGCATATATGCTGGCGTCCGTGGTCCTTGGGAAGCTTCAGAGGATTTGGAAGGACGAAGATGTCACATAAAACAAAGTTGCGTATGCACTCGTTGATTCTGTTCCCCTATATGGCTCCTATATTTCGGCTGATGGTAATTCTGCAGAGTTAATCACCTTTATCTATACCGAACCCAACTCTCCCGGCTTGGCCATATAGTGAGAATGGAAAACAGCAGAGTTCCAAAAAGGCATCCTGCTAGAAACAGTGACTGGGAAAAATAGACGGGGTAGGCCAAAGAAGAGATGGGGAAATGACATAATGGTTAACAGCACCTTCTATCTGGAACACACCGTAGAGGGCAAGACAGACAGGAGTGGAGATTGAAGACTTATGGGCCAACGTCCTTCGAGACATAGTGCACAGCAAGGCTGATTGATTGAAACAGAATTTAAAAAATACAGAGGGAAAGGCTTTCTAGATTCTCAAAGCCACCCGTTGGTCACAGATGAGGTTTACAGGCCAGAAAGTCGGGCAACAACGAGAGGGACGACCGCGAGACAAGTTGAGCTCAATGTTGCGGAACGCTGACCTCAAATTAGCGGTGCATACAACCGAATACATTCCGAGATATTAGATGATTGATCCTCCATCCCTGGCCGAAGTTCAGAAAACTGTGTCGGGGCATTTTTTTTGTTATTCCTTTATTGTCAGGGTGAATTTCTTGTTGGGACCGATGAGAAAGGGGAACAACCTCCACTGCCAGTGGAGAAACAAATTTCGGGGGAAAAAATTGCTCGACGTGATGTGATGATAAAATAATCATGTTGTCTGCAAATGGATTACCGAGTGGAAAGCCAATTTTACTATAATGAGATGTCACAATTGGTGGCTCCACTGTAGATGGTGAGTGAGCAATTTGCAAATGAGATCACGCTGGAAGCAAACATGTCCAAATGACCTTACGAAGTGGCACTAAATGGCGCAACTAATGAGCTGAATGACTTGGATGTTGTGCAGTCATACAGAAGGCTCCCAGCATTTTATGCATAAGGAGCACGTGACCAAAATCGGATAGAAGGTTGAGTGCATAGACGTTAATACGAGGCTATGTTCACATCAAAATGCTGTAGGGTACCAAATAAGCATAACTGACTGAATTATTTGCTATTGGCAGAGATCTTAACACATAAATGTCTGGTACAAATTCAAGGGGTAACGTTCCTTTCGAACAGTGTAAATCCAAGTAACACCACGACTTAAACGTCATGTTGAACGAACGCACCAGCTCTGCAAAACATTTACGACACGCTACACCTTTTATAGAAACAAGTCACTATACAGATAAAACAAAATTAACCCCTTCTTGAGGAGTTATTCTTCCCATCATTCCAACGGCATTAAGAAATTGTTTGTTTGTTTTATGGGAAAAATGAGATAAAAACACCCAAAACCATCAATTTCTACCGTTTACCCTTGACATCACGCAGATGCCTCCATATTATCGTACACAAACAATTTGGCCAAAAAGAAATCCCTACTAACCTATCCTATTTTCGAAAGGCCATGTAATCAGAAGCAGAATATTTTTCATTTGACCTTAGGAGTCAAAAGTCATCGGGAAAGAAACAAAAAATCATCACTAGCTTTCATAATCTTCAGCTGGCGATAGCTGAGGTAATACGCACCAATGCAGACTGTTTCCTCGACCTCACACGATCAATGAGGTTCACACCTCGCTTCATTCAATATTAATCCCTCTTCTCCGTAATTACGAACGTCTATTTCAGAGTCAAATCATTTTGTCCTGGAGTTTTTCTAAAGACCTTGAACAGCACGTTATATCTGAACGGGTACTTTATTTGGCTCGGGTATTGGGTGCTTTTTTTTCGGAGCGTGAACACATTCAGTCAGAACTTGAATCGCAATCATCAGAATGACTCCCGTGGGGATAATAAAGAGGTGTTCAGCGAAAATGATGTAAACTGACGTACTTACCCTTGCAGCCACTGGCAGTTATGATGTAGCCGCTCCCTGTCACGCTAGTATCCTCGTTTGAATCCTTTTCCACGTTCCTTTTGAAGACAAACAAAAAGGAAAGAATGATATTCCAAAATGATACTGTGCACCTCAGATGTTTCTATTGCAAGAATTATTACAAACATCTGAATCGGTGTCCTCGACGAGTAAAGATTAACAGAGTACGACATCAGGTGAAATGCAAGAAAGGCTCAAAACAGAGGAAGCAAAGCAAAAAGGCGTCGGTGGAGTAGGCTCTTTAAACCCGTCTTCAATCCCTCCCTCAACGGTGACAAAAGGAAGCGATAGAGAGAGAGAGAGAGAGAGAGAGAGAGAGGGAGGGGTGGGGGGGGGGGGGGGAGCTGACAGAGACACTTATAAACGCATGCCGTGCATCGGGCCCCTACGCGAAGACGCTATACGAGTTAGAAAACATTGCATGAATAACACAATTATTGCGTGCATTGTGCTATGCGCATGATGCTGTTTCAGGACATAATTTCCTCGCAAAAGTCTCCTCCGACAGATTTACGTTGTAATGACGTCGTCTTGCCACGCACCTGTTGAGATTCGAGTTACAGTCTAAGTGATTTCCCAAACTGGCGATGCTACAAATAGTTTGACTGTTTTTGTCTGCGCTACGAGATCGCATCAATTCGGGTGCCTGAGCGACCGGCACTTAGCGATCTCTGAGTGATGCGTATACGATGTGACCTGGAAAACAAGCAGTCGATGTGAGTTATAGCTCACATTAGTATCAGCGTTTGAATCTAACTTGCGGCGATGCAGTGTGCAATGGCGGTAGCTCACTGGGGGATAATGTGTCATCGTTATCTCTAAACTGTTACCAAAAGCATGTTCCGTCTCTTTGTTTCTCTCAAACAAGAATGATCCACGAGGCTTTAGCATTTCCCGAAGATCAAACCACTTTTCTCCCCTTGGGCCCACCCCTGCCAGCAACCGACGGTGGCACGGGACTATCGGTCGATAACATTTCACGTCCCAAGGAACTTTCCTCGGAACTGCAGCATCTCCCCTTTCGCTAGTCGTGTTTAGGACGTTCTTTTCCCAATCGGCTGCGCATTGATAGATCGATGGTTGAGTTGGGCAGCGCAGTGTGTACATCCACCATCTCAAATTCAAGATATACGGCCGTTGAACGGTAAACGACATTTAAAGCTCAAGGTGAATGGGACCTAGATCAAACCCCGGAAGACTGCCACGTATCGACATCCATTAAACAGACCTTTTTGGCCCAACTGGCGCAAATAAGAGTTTTATCTGCAGAGTCTCACACGCAGTCAGGTGAGAAAAGAGTCGATATTAAAACGTGTTTGAATGCACTTACATGATTAATGTAATAAATCACAAAGTGAGAGACGCATGAGACCGAGAACATTCTACACAAACATTGGATTGATTGACATTAACAAAACGAATGTGATCCGCAGCGCAGGCAATCGAATGAATGTGTAATTGGTTTGCGATCCTGTATTTTCCTCTACAAACAGATTCCCTGCCGTGTCAATTCCGGACGCCAACGCTCTACAATGTCAATGCATTTTCATGTGTCCGGCCGAAACCCCACATTTGAATTTCGTGTTTCAAGGCTGGGTTTCACTGTGCTGTCTACATGAACCCCGTCAGGATACGAAACTGCCATGCATGATTGGAGTAAACACATCGCATTTTCGTCACTTGACTATCCTCTCCATCCAGGGACTAGAATGAAACGTACCGCGCAGTTGTAATTATTCATGTTTGATACAGCAACCATGCACGGGGATTTAAAGCCACCTCACACCTATGACTAATTAAACATGTTGACTACACGATCGCGCTTCAGGAAATCGCTTAAATAATCGCTTATTAACGTTTCAGGAGGCAGATTGACCTCTTCGGTACAGTACATCGAACTTGCTCTAGAATAGGAACGACTATCTTCATGAAATCGGTAATTGTTTGCCACTTTGTGTTCTAGGCTTTTTTTCTAGCATGTGTGACGTTCTCCGACTAAAAAGGGAAATGCCATGATTATTTTTTTAACTTTGTAACCCACGTCCCTTGACAAGGTCGATTCTGACCTTTTCAAGATCCCTAGAAAGGGATCAACCCTTGACGTTAAAGGGTAGATTCGATATAATATTCGTACTCCATTTTTTCGGCATTCATGGATTTCGTTTAGCGCTTACTTGATCGGAGGTGTGTGGTCATCTATAAATAAACATTATGTTATATCAATACTCAGAAGATTTATTACGAATTAAAACTTTATCTTAAAATTCATCTGTAAGTTATCTATTTATAACTTGGTCAATTTTGCCCACAAAGGGCTCAAAAAGTGTTGCATCACTCGGAAAAACCAATTAATTTCTGGTGTTTCGCGGGTTTAATACATTTCTAAAATCCTTTTCAAAATAACCAATTAACCATCAGTTACAGAATGAATACTCACCAGTTGGTGTGTAATATTATTCTAGTGTTTATAGAAGTGTGAGTCAACACTTAGAACCAAACTACGACAACAACAACGGAAAACAAAGATAACAACGAAAAATGGGAGGTTTGCCGTAACACCATGTGAATGATATCTCTTTTTAATAGTGAGTTGTGTGGTTCTGAGAAGAACCAGTTGGTTTAACTCAACGTTTCGAACAGTATGCTCTGCTCGTCATCAGGAGACTACCGAACTCTTGCTGATTAAGTAGTGGATGCTAAGTCAGTGGACCGTTACTGCTGGATATTCTGGAACAGGATGCTTAAGTGTAAATACATGTACTTAACCTACTACTCCAGCAAGAGTCCGGCAGTCTCCTGATGACAAGCAGAGCATACGCTACTCAGTTCGAAACGTTGAGTTAAACCAACTGGTTCTTCTCATAACCACACAACTCACTAAGAGATAACATTCACATGGTGCTACCGCAAACCTCCCATTCATTGGTCATGTCCACCAAGACCACCATGCAAACCCTTAAGTCTTATATTAAATATAACAACAACATGACGTCACCGGCTGGAGTTTTGCATCGGTTTAATATGGAAATGTATCGACTGTTGCGTGACCTGCGAGGATGGAACTGGCTCACGCTCTCGCTAAAAATAAACGCTCCTTTTATAGCAGTATTAATATTGAAGACCTCCATTTCGAGACGTGGTGTAATGCAGGTCAATGAATAGAGGTGCCCTACAAAGTGATAAAATATGTATATGCACGCCTTTACTTCACACATATGATGCTGATGATGTTCATAGTTACACCTCTGTCTTGAATACTGTATTTTTATTGGCCTAGAACAATCACGTGTTAAGTTTGTAAAAAGTCATGGCAGACTACATGTGGGATATCACGTACGTGAATCCTACAGGGAGTGTGCTTTGACTTTTTGCATACGGATGTGAAACGCTTGTATCGTTGGTACCCATGCTATTTTCAACATGTTTTTACACATGAGTGGGAGCGGCGAACTAGCAGACGATCAGCTGTTTCGAGCACGCGACATGCATGTGAGTTGCCGTTAGATTGTCATGATTGCTGGACGTGTTTACTGCTTTTTGTTTTCGTGATCTTTACATCAAATCAACAGAATCCAAGACAGAGGTATAACAAAACAATTGTTGACTGCTGTGATGTGGGATATGACGTACTGAACACCCTCGGCGCGCATAGCACACTCGGCTTCGCCTCGGGTGCTATGCGCCCCTCGGGTGTTCAAAACGTCATATTCCACATCACAAACAGTCAACATTTGTTAAATATTATAGCCCTATTATTCTCATAATGAATCGATATTAAGGCATGTTGAGCCCGTGATTAATTATCCATTCAATGGCTCTGGTTCAAACATACCAGACAAAGCAGCCCCCAGCCCCCTAAAAACGGATCATTGTCACTTCATGAAAAAAATGTTGACAAGCATTTATCTCACTTCTTCCTAATATCATCAATGTTAGTTGAACATAGCAAAACCACAAAAAAAATGGGAAAAGTACACCCTTTCCATAACGTGCTGCTTATTTTTTTTTTGATCAGACCCAATTTTGTGAAAAGAATGTGTTTTTTTCAGCAACGATACGGTTTCACATTCCTCTATAGTTTCGTCAACGCATGTGTTTATTCGTAAACGATTGCAGGTGTCATTCGAGACACCATGTGACATTTAATCATCGCCACGGACAAATCTGAGCATTTCCGCCCAGTTAACAATAAACAAGTGATTGCGTAGAGACCGTTCCGACCCCGGAGATTTCATCAATTTGAGAAAACATTGATCTTGTCTCGCTCCGGATCGCTTTAAAGGAAGGTATCACATTCTCAACTTCCTCGTTATTCTTCGAATTCTTCCTCCAACAACAAACCAAATTCCCCAAGTGACATGTCAGTGGGATAAGCCTGGCTGATGTTTACACGACAATCTCGCATAGCAATATGACAAAATATAAACCCTTTTAAGTCTGAGCTTATTATGAGAAAAGGAGTGGTGGAACGTGTCTTTTTGTGTGTTGTTTCGCCAACCTGGCGCGGTAATCCGATCGCATCGTTCCGAGTCGGACGTCGAACTTCAAAGGGAAGTTTAGCGTCAGTTGCAATAGTCTGGCGAGCTCCTGTCATTATAAAAAATCGCGTGCCGGAGGAAGAAATTATCACAAGGTGGAAAATGCAATTTCACGGCGTTCGCCATGTGCTGTGTGGAACGACAAACGGATCTCGAACGATGATTACTTTGCGAAGCTACCGTTACAGTCGATTTGTTTCCTCGCAGACACAGACGAGTACATCGATCCAATCATTTATTTCTCCCGTACCCGGAGAGCTCTTTCAAAATGTAATAATATTTGAGTTCCAATCGCATTCGCGCTTAGCTTGACGCTCTGAACAGTTTGATATTGGAATGTAATGAACAATTTGATTTTGGTAGCATTTTGGACGGGTAATAATAGCAAACAATATGCACACGACATCGATCGTCGTTCGGCGAAATGCGAACAGATGACGACTATTTATTTCACAACACTGTAGCTTATTAATTTGCTTCCGTAACACATTATGCGATTATGAAAAATTGATACAATACGCACAAATAACCTTATTAAAAACGAGCTACACAATGGTTGCTATACGCGTGGGTATTTTGTTGTCAAGCGCAGAGCACTTTTTGTCGACCGGGAGCTTTACATTTTAAACGATCATTAGAGAGGAAAAACATCCGTAATTAGAAATCATCTCAACTGATACAGGTGCCAAACATTTTTTAAACAAACAAAAAAAGATTTTGCATGTTAAAAGAGTTTTAAAAATACCTCAAAGAGGACCAGATTATCCGATGATTTTGGAAAATATTCGTACATTTCTGTAATTGGAATTAAAATAAAGGATCTAAAAAAGGGCAATTTCCGATATTTTTAAAATGCTAATTTAACCCAGGATCACGAATATGAAGGAAAAAAAAGGAAATTCCTGATTGTTTTTGAAATGTTGGGGTCGAACGCTTCCTCCCCCCCCCCCAAAAAAAATCGCTCTTGCTCAAGCCATCACAGTAACAGTCTCAACTGCGTAATAAGCTATAGTGCTATGCATGCCTATTGTGGCATATCGCTTCCCAAGGGAATTTGACAAGGTTCGAAAACCTATTATCTTCGCCATGTTCAAGGCGTTAATATCTCGGGTCCGGACAACCTTGCAGCATTCCCTCCATAATAACTTGGTAACAAGTATAATCCAGACGTTGCTGCGAACGAAATCAATGGCACAGCAACGGAGGTTGTATTTCTCCATTAATGTAAAATAAGAGGTGAATACATTTGATATTTCAAATATTATTTTGAAATGAATGTAACCAAAAACCGAATTACAAGACGACGCACTGTCAACATTGGATAATTTGGTAAGACTTGAAGGTTTGCATGGTGGAAAGTAAAAAGATGTAGGGTCTAAAGATGGAGTCACATCTCATTCTGACTGTGTGTGGTTCTGAAATTGAAATTTTAATTGATGCTTAAAAGGTAAAGGCCACAGACGGATTCCCGCTGTAAGGAAATATTTTTAACAGGAACTTGCTCAAGATATACATGTACAAGGTAGATGATACAGTAAAGATACCACCACCTGTTCACTATGTAAGTAACGAGTGATGGAGCATGCTACGACTGCTGTTTGTACTAAAACAAAACTATCAACAAGAAATGCGTCAAAGAAACAACACTAAAGACAAAGAAGGAAAGGTGAAAGGTCCTCAGTTGCACGTACCTTTGCTAAGGCCAAAAGACCCCCAGTGCAGTCGTGTTTATTTAAAGTGAAGAAGTCCAGAAGTGGCATGACGTCTCACTTATCGATTTAGGTTGAATGTTTGTCCTTAGGAAACCCAGAAACGAAAACTCTGCAGAGAGTCGCACTCGTCTTCACTGTTTATGTAGCCAGTCGCGAACTGCCAACAACAGAGCATGAAAATACTTGTGTTTATGCAGCAAGTGAGAAAAGAACATCTGAAGTCTGTCTCGAGATGTTTCGTCTAGGAATTCGCTACCATCAAAATAAATATGCGCTGTTTCCAGAGCGGGACCGGCACGGCGTGTGTGCGGTCGGCACGTACCGAGCTGATTCGAAGTACCGTCAGCTGATGAGAGCTGGAGTGACTGACGTCGACCCGGGTTAGCAGTGAGTACGAGAGTTGTTATCAGCTGCGGAAGAACGATGGTGTGGGTCGGGGAACAAGACGGCAGTGATCAACGTCCCCCGCGTGCATAGCAAACTGGAAGTAATACACACGGCAGTCGGGTCCCCTCGTGGTGCGTGGCTGTGGGGTGGGCCTCCACAGGTGGTGGGTGTTTCTTTCGTAGAACCTGGCTTAGGTTCAATGTACTATTCTGGTGGTTCTGATAGGGACGATCAGAATGTCAAATCAAAATGCTCCGGGTGGTGAAGTTATAAATACACTGTTGAGAACAATTGGGTCAAAATAAGTCACGAATGGGATCATTATGGTTATTTTTGTCCGCTTGCGTTTCCACGAATCAGTTGCGGATCTAGATGGTAATAGAGCTATTAATTGTCTTTAGCTATTGATCGAAATCTGAAACTGCAATATTGTATCACGTTAATAATTTCGAGACGATTAGTTTGTTTCCAGTTATAGGTAAACAATTACCATCAGCAGACGAAAAAGCTAGAAGGCGTTTTGCCGCCACAACCAGCCCTGCCGCCTGCCGCCTGCCGGTACTCTTTGCGCTCCGTTCACAAGTACCCCCTCACCAGCAAAGAAAGTACAGTTGGGGTGACCGACCAACGCCATCTTGCCTGACTGCAATTTTGCCGAGCGAAAAGCGCAAAGCGCGGCCACTGCGTGTACATAGTACAAATCCCCTGGTGTACGTGCATCACACACAAAGAATTGCGCGCGTCAAACAGCCCATGGGACGTCGTTGCTAGGTAAAAGGGCGCCCTCTTTTGTTGGCGCTCGGAGCCCACATGCCCTCCTGAAAAATATTCCCAAAGCAACAACTGTTAATTTGAATTTCCAAAATACAGACAACATGGACGTGCATGAAGGAAAAATAATGTTTTGCCACCATGCTGCGTCATGTCGACTGCGATAACTTTCAGGCAAAATGGTAGGAGGAAAAAAAGACAATCGATATCTCATACTGACATTCAAGTCGTGTCGAGGCAAGCTGCCGTAAGCAGCGGTAGGCCTACATCAATCGAAGACTGGGGCGAAAGAGAAACGCGTAGTGTTACCAGGATGTGTTGTGACCACGACCCCCACTCAGTTATAGCCGCAGGCGGACGCATGTACCGGCTATATTCACGACCGTGTGTTTCAAAAAGCTTAGTCGTTGGAGTAATGGGATTGCATTTATCTTTAAAAATAAATTCGAGATCCTGTTCGCACAGCGTCGTTTGGTGATATAAATATATATACACAAATGAAGTAGTGTGTACCTATAATTAAACTGAGAGAAATCAATGTAGATTGATAATTGGATTTTTTTTTTAAATTTAACAAATAGCAATTAAAGTAAAGTAATAAAGGGGCGACCGTTCGAGCACGTTTTGCATGTTGGGATGACACGAATAATACATTAGCAAGTGTATTTTTAGAATGTCTTTCTAAAGCTAGTTATAGAGACAATAACTCCTGGTTGAAATTCCTCAACTGAACTCATGAAAATAGTAAAGGATGTATAGTTTTGCCTACAACTATTTGTTTTCTTTCTCTGAACCAGTCATTCTTAAAGGGTAAGAAAATTATCTCTTTTTTGCTAATTCTATTACAAAGTGCATTCTTCAAACGTTTCAAATTGTCCGTGCTTTTCCGGACAACTGAGGGTGCTGTTGCTGTGCTGTCCGTTTAGGAAGACACTGTTCAGCTTAATTAGGGGTGTTTTCTGTTGAAACTGTGAACCCCAACAATTTCTGATTGAAACTATTTGTGAGAAAAGATTGCTCACTGGCGTACTGCCATGTACTGACACAACAACTAACCACAAAGAAAAGAAGATTTACGACAGAAACATTTCCCAAATTCGAGCAACTTTTGGTGCTAAAATAGATGTAATATGGAGGTTTGTGCCCGAAATGACATCACACTTTTGCTCATGAATATGGACATTGCATTAACATAAAAACCGAAAACACACTTGAAAATGGCAAAACGGAAATTGCAAATAGGGTTAAATGGGACACATAGGTGCATTTATAAGGAAATTGCATTAAAGTATTCTGCCTTGAAATCAAAAACATTTTGTGATTCAGTTCGTACATTTCTCGTACAGCCTATCGGTCTGTGATATCAGCGTACCATCTGCATAGCCTCTGACATTTTTACTTTTACTAATTTAATATCGCACAGCTGAAATGAACATGTTGGTAAAGTGTTACCAGCGGGTAAAATTATGGATGAATGTCAGTGCTGTGTCAACCATCAGCGGATCTAAGTAGTAGGGGCCTGTCAGGCAAGAGCCACTCATTCAATTAGTATGGATATATACGGACTGGATAGGATTACAAACCTAGTCGATTATGACTTAGCCCATCGGCTATCTGCACGATAGCAGGGGTCCCCCCAATCCTCCAGAGATTTAATCACAACATCACTTTGATGCATCCCGGCATTTTCATTGTAACATGATGGGAGTTCAACATGATGGATTGCTATTCTAGAGGTAATCAACCCCAGCTACAGACGTTTATTCACCACGAAGCCATTTTGGTCGTGTTCCCCGACTGTATTTTATAAATTGTAAACTGTTGAAAGGGATGGTGCCAAACTATTACTGCGTTCCAAGCCGCACTTTCAATTTAAAAAACAAAATGTGGCTTAAAACATTAGGGTATGTTTAATCACAAATTTTAAATTATTGATCATAGCTGACTGGCATTAATTTGTAATGAAGTTTTTATTTTTTATTTTTTATTTCTATATACTCGCAAGTTCCAAAAAAGACTTTACCTCGCTTTCAATTTAATATGGCCGACTCGTGGATAAAATCTGTGAGGGAAAGTACATCTTTAAACAAGAGGAAATCGCTGTTTGAGCGGTTACCAACCACCCCGGGCAACTTTCAAAATCTGGAGGAATCGGGTATTAAGCATGGAGGAAGACGTCTAATGTTTTCCTTCCTCCATAAATCAGGTTTGCGCAGTGGTGTGTTTTCAGTTTGACACAAGACACAAGGGCAGTGTTGCTCAACTTTCTGCCCAACCTTGCGAAGAATGTCTTCGCTAATAGACAAAGCCTGTCCGATGCATGATGTAATAAGAATTTTACCAAACTAACTTCATACCGATTGAGGTTTAAGTTCCCACAACTCAGCCGTAGCACATCATTTTTTTCCCCACCAACATTGCAAGGATCGTTCCTCGCTCGCTTGCGCCCCGGCTCGAACACGAGCCTGACGCAAAAAATAATAATATTGGAAATGGATTTGATTGTCGGCACCAAAGCTATTATGACCGCTTGGGTTTTGCGCTCGGAATGAAATCTCTGAGACTTTTTGCTCTGGGCCTTAAGCTGATATTTTGTTTACGTCTTCCCTGACAGGATTATAGGGCTTTGTATCCGGCGCTGAAATGTACCCCTAAGGCCTCGCAGTTTATCGTTTTGAAAGAAGTAAAATAAATGAGTGAGATAATACGAGACGGCAAACAAGATTTCGGTAATACATTTTCCTTTGCATTTTCCTTTGCCCAATAGGATAAAAAGCTCGGGGTGTCTTTCCTGAAAAGACGTCTGATTCTTGAGCGTCAAGTCAGTTATTTAATACTTTCTGTTGCTGGCATACTTCATAAATCACACTTCTTTAGCTCTGTGAGGCATAAGTTGGAACTATCACGACACTTCACAGAACTAACTTGAAAAGTAAAAATCTAATCTAGAAAAGCAACCCTCAACCCACGAAGAAAGTAAATATCATGAAGTTAAACAGTTCAGCGGACAAAAATAATCACCTGTTACATCACGGCTGTTGGTTAATAAAAAAGCTACTCACGTGTCGTTTTTCATGTCCCCCCCCCCCGAGTGTAAAAATCAAGATTTTAAACCCATAAATATGAATGACAGTTCACATACCTTACAGAGAGCTGAGGCCCTTCCCACATAAAATCACATGACCACACAGTGCAATCTTAAAAAACACACAAGTGTGACAAACGACCTGTCAGTTGGGTGCTAGTGTATGTTTAATACCGGACATTATTTTGATGTGCATACCAGCACTCGTCCGCCGCGAGATTACAATGCGACCCACACACAGAAATATAATAGCCGGCACACACGTGTTCAGAGGGAGTGGTTTTCATTGTTGATGTAGATGTGGGTCAGTAAATTCTGCCACAATAAATGACCAGAACCAATTGTATAAATGCCCAGCGCGGTCACGGCAGTGTGGATTTCAAAACGGCTCAATAACTCGTAATAAGCCGGCACCGATGCAACACAAAAACGTATATGCTTGCCTCCCATACGATATAAACTTCACTGAAAGTACGGGTCAAGGTTCCAAGATATATTACGGGGGAAAACAGAACTAAGCAAAATATTTTGCGTACCTTTCTTTCTGTTGTCATCCTCTAGTTTGGCTTGGCTTGAGTGATTGTTGTTTCACCCTGATGTTTTCCCCCATTAGTTCACGTTAACAATATGCAGATAGGACACCAGACTCACAAGCTAGAAGCGCGAGCTTCGGCAACTTCAAGTAGGCCTACACAGTGCTTTCGTCTTTGCCACTCCAAAAGTCGTTAACAAGAAACTGTCTTCAGATTAAAATCGTTCTCTACATGTTCGCATTCAACACTGATTTGCCGCTAAGTAGCTTGCCGGCTATGCCGGCAGTTGGTTCCAGAATAAGATAACAACACTTTTCTTTCGCTCATCACCCACAAACTGAGGGTGCAGATGCAGAACAGTCTGATCGTACAGCGCCCTCAAGAGACAACTTTCAAAACTGAACGTTTGGGAAAGTCAGATACAGTATAGGCTGTAATGGGATATCACAATATGATATAAGATCGTTGCCTCCGCATTCATGTATTTGATCCTTTACAGCTGTACTCACTGCCTCAGTGTGGTGCACAAGCAAAGTCCTGTTTTTAGTTTTTGCGCCCTCTTGCGTTAAAGTAGACCTAGTTTTTTGTCGTATACGTCGTGTGTAGGGGCGGGACAAGAGTGGGCCAAAGAAACCGTCCCTGGTTACTCTAGCGCCATGGGCGTCGCCAGGCCCCCCCGGAAAAGCCAACAAAAACAAAACAAGAGAGAAAAAAGAAGAAGGGAAAACAGAAAAGAAGACGAGGTGCGAAGTCACATTACTATTAATTTAATGCACATTTAGCAACATGTGTCAATGGGGGTGGGTTGGGTAATATGCTAGAGAAAGTACAGCGGTTTTCGGAAATAATGTGCTTTTCCCCCCTCTAGAAAAAAATCCTGACGACGTCCATGGTAAGCGCATCCAAGCCACTTGGTGGCGCTGCTTAGGCCGTGTCCGATTTACTTGGCTACGGTTTGAAATTACACACGTGTCTAGCGACTGCAGCCACTCCACTAAGACTCGTGTGTAATGTGAATCCGTAGCCAAGTAATAATCATTTTGATATGTGCGCCCTCTACTGCCAAGGTAATTTTTGGTTGGGCTTAAGCCATTGATCGCATGCAAGCGGAGCATTATTATCTAAATTCAATCTTAGGCCCATAGCTTGTTGTGAGGGGTTGTAGAATTGTATAGAGCACGGATATACCCGCTTGAAGATGTAGTCTTTGGAAAACGCAAATTGCGCAAGCAAAGGAGTCCCGGACTAGCTATGATAAAAAGTCTAATTCATCTTTAAATTTACATTATTTTTTTCAGAAAATCCCTGCAAAATATTTCAAGCTTCTACGTACAATGATATCCCCGGTCGCTCTATGGTCTAGCAAAAGCGAAAGACAAACAGAACAAGAGCAATACGACATCTGAAATTGGAAAAGATTAATATATTTATTTGTTTTCGATCCCCCTACTTTGACGTACACTGGATTTTTTAATCATTATGTTTACAAAGGCAATAGCTTATTTTCAGCAAACATATTTTGTGGGAATATCCTGATAATATTTAAGTTAATTAAAACAAATATTACTGTTTGTAATAGCTCGCAAAAGCTGAAGAACCAGAAACAAAAAAAAAACACAATGAAATGTTGCTCAATAATAAACATATATATTCCTTTAAAATATGTACAATATGTTTTTTACAGTTGTGTTTCAATTAAAAATTAAAAATTAAAAGTGCATTTGATGCACGAAGAAAAAAAGGTTAAATACTTAAAACGCATCCCTGTTATCCTGTTTAAACTGCAAAAATTCGAACATATTTTAAAATTATATTTTTGTTCAGTAACAGTATTTCGCTCATAATGTGCCAATCTTAAATTTCTTTTTTCAAACTACAATCATTGCAAATCATGCATGAAATCCAAATACTGAGCCAGCTGAGCTATAATCATTAACTGGGAAAAATGAAATTCCAAAAACATTTCATATAATTTTCTATTGATTAAATGTGTAACAAGTGCGGTGTTATACAAAATATTGAATGTTTACGAGTGCAATGGTAAGAATAATTTCCTGAGGTGACAAATGGATGCCATTCCATTCCAACAGGCGAAGCCGAGTGGAATGGAACATTCCATCTGCCACCGAAAGTAATTATTATTCTTTCCATTGCACGAATGTGAAACATTCCTTATTTGGTTTATACAACACCTGAATAAATTCTCGTCATCTGATTGGTCAGAGCCACCAACCGAGTGCCAACAGCTTATATTTTTGCGGTGCGGCCGGGCCGTGGGTTAGGACGAATAATTCAATGTCACGTGATCAACGACCCAGGCCCACCAAACAGATGACGGGGATATATTCAGGCGTTTTTCAATACAGGATATATATCTGAGGTAAGAAGCGGAAGATATATATGTGACGATTAAAAAATGATCAAATAGGCATTCAAAAGTATTATTTTTTTTAAATTCGATATTATTAAAATAGGCCAGGTCACTATAAATAAAACTTAGTGTTACACATTTAACAAGAACTATAAAAACCTGATTTGTGTAAGCACATCTGAAAGAAAATGTGAAGAAATCACACAAGAGAGGCTGGTTTACTCAAATGCTTTTAGGTGTATGAAACCGGTTTTGTTTTCAGTTAGGGGAGTGGTTTTTACGTTCGAGAAAAACATTCTGAATGGGGTTTACCTATAATTAATACAAACTAAATCATTGGTTGTTGAAGAAAATTGTTGAGTTACATAATGTACTGAAGATCTACGTCTTCAATTTGGTTGAGAAATCCTAAACCAGAGTCATATACCCAGTGCGATATGTGACAGAGGGGTACACCCCCCAATCTCCCTATACCCTATACACACCCTAGACTATTGTTACCTAACACATCCCCCAGATATCTCAAAAGAATTCCTGAGATTCTGCTAACATAATGACCAACACATAAGAGGGGGGGGGGCCCTCTGTCACATATCGTGCTACATCTGCAGAGTCATGTCAAAAGGTCACTCTAAAGCGCCAGTGAGGATTTCAGAGGATCAAAATTCCTACGAAAATAACATTGAGTACCTTGTAAAAAAAAGTGAAAAACATACTGCCCCAAACCGTCACGAAGCCAAAGCGTTAAATAAATAAGCAGCATTATACAATAAACAACACACGACTTACTTTACAATGACAAGAAATGGCATCATCACGTTTTACATAACACACATAACGAGGCGCACCAAATGTTAAAGAGATGCGAGGTACCGGTAACAACGTACCGAGAGAACGAAGACTACGGGACCGACATTTGACGAAAAGTTACTTCTTATAAACGAAAACCAATGACGCAGTACAAAAAAATAGCATAGTATTATTGCCAACAGGTGGCGCTATTGTTACAAATAGCAATAGGGGCAGTAGGAGTTTTAACAGAGAGCGATTGCCTCATATCGTGCTTGCAACATCAATTGAAATTATTTATAAATACAGCCACACAAAAATATCAGTCACAAATAAAGCTCCAAGCTAAAGATTGTGAAGAGGAAAAATAGGAATTGCCATTCGATGTTGCTGTTCTCCATATCATTCTAGTAGGCAAAAAATATAGTTTTTTTCAGGCGCTACGACCAGCGGGTAGTGTAAAATAAGTCATGTTCAAATAGAGATTTCTTATTTAAAAGCCGTGCAACATTTTGTAGAACATTGATTCGACACATCTACAGACTGACAAAACATTCTCTGTTTTATTGCAACTATTGTGTTCTTGTCTCTATGGATTCTCCGTTTACATTTTGCGTAAGACAGGGATTTTTTTTAGCTGCGTATGGCTTGATATGTACATTCTTGTTTTAGGCGTGGGTTTTTACTCTTTTGTTCACACACTGCAGCATCTAGTGGAGTTTTTTCCTCGCATGTCAACATGGAATGGCAACTCCTATCTTGCTCCTATATCACAAGAAGAACCAAAGAAAGACACAGTCGCCAAGACCCAACACTCACGTCATCCTCTAGGTGTCAAGACACCTGAACGGTCCAAGGTAGATTCTGAGCTTTCTAGGAAATTGGTGGTTTCAAATCTCGACTTTTCTCCAACGTCGAATGCAGGACATTTTGGCCTGGGACTTGGGAAACCTGCTGATATTATTTGCACTGGATTTGGAGAAAGGCTTCTATATTATATTTGTAGCCTCCGATTAGCCGAAGCTGGAACCAGGGCCGAGGCTTGAAAACACACTCGAGTTTTGAAAAAAAGCAAACTAAACAAACTCCTACATAAGGTAAAGACAAGATAAAGAAAAGCACCTTGGCGACTGTGTCTTCTCTTTTCTTCTAGACTCTAAAATACTATGACTAAACCTCAAGGTGTAACCGGTACCGGTCTCCTAATTCTGGGCCGTCGCCTCCTCTTCCTCCGTTTCCCTGACCCGCCGCCGCCGCCACCGCCACCACGGCCGCCGCTACCGCCGCGGCCCCCGCCCCCTCCGCCAGGCCGGGCGGTCCTGGTAGCCACCTCGGTCGTGGTAGCGGCTTCGGCCCTGGAGAAGGGCTTCTCGGACGGGTACTGGTAGCTGACGCCGTTGTTGACGAACTCGCAGGTGGGGTTCGTACCGCCCCACTGGCCGCAGTCCGTACAGACCCGGTGAGGGTTGCCCACCATGTACGATTCTGGCCCGCAGAAGTAGGTGACCTGCCCGCCGTAGGTGTAGTCACTGCCTACCACGATGGCGCCCCGCGTCGTGTCTGGGTCATCGCATGTGGTCTTGGCTCCCCCTGGATGGACAAGACAATGCAGGCAAGAAATGTTTAAAGGTAGCAGAACGTAGTGTGCGCGATTTTACACGGTATAAAGAGCGCCACCAAGTCTTAGTCTCGAAATTGCCACGGCTCAACCTCATGGTCGACATTTTGCATGTAACGCCATGTACTTCATTTTGCAAAGTCCATCCCCCCCAAAAAACCCTCAAATCCATATAAAAGCCCCGTTAGAAATTCCGATGTCTTGTGCAACAGAGTACATCCAGCGGAGGTTGAGTTTTTTCCCATAACGCACTGCGAACAAAATGCCCTTCGGTGCTCACCACTTGGTGGCGCCCTGTATTAGGAACCACTTCTATTAAAAAAAAACTATGCAAATTGCCGTTCCTCGTTTAATTATTTACTAAGAAGGAGTCATTGACCATGTGGAAAGTGTTACGTGCAATTTATTTTTAGACCAGTCTTTCAATTCTAGATCTGCGAATAGCAGGTGCAGTTCACAAGGTAGTTGTCTGGAGGAAATGTCAGTATTGGTCATCAAAAAATATGACTTCCCCTTGGATGTAAAATGTCAGAGTTCTTCGACCTTTACAATAAAATAGCTCTCAATAATCATAGGAGCTTAGTGATTTTTTTTCAATATAAGAATGGGAAAAAATAACTAGGACTAGAACTACATGTACAAAAAAAAAATGGATTGTAATGTCTTTTTTTTTTTAATTCATTACAAATATTGTTGTTGTTGTTTTTGTTTTTTGTTTTTAATGTATAGGTCCCTTATATGCCATTTTCCCTTTACATGTATCTTTTGCTTGATTAGTTTTGTTCTTAGGCTTTAATGCTAATGAGCTTGTATTAATATTATTTGATTATTATTAATTTTATTGTAACAATATGTAGATTTTAAAAGTTTTTTCATGTTATTAATTAACTTTTCTTTTTTAATGATTGGTGAGCGCCTTGAACGTCATTTTGAAGGATTTGGCGCTATGTAAGATTACTATTATTATTATTATTTATTTATTTATTTTTTAACCCAGCTCTGACTGACTGAGTCACTGACTGAATAACTGACCGACTGAATGAGGACACCAAGTGTAAAATATTGTCCTAAGGAATGCCTAGTCAGCAGGGAGATAACAACAAGACGAAACTTTCTCCAGGATGTTTCATTTTTTTATGGTATAAAACATAATAATTTGATAAGAAGAAATTCTTCAATTGGAACTTACGGTGCACCAGCCGCACCGAGGCGCATCTGTCGATGGTGTTACTGGCCTGCGTCTGGATGATCTCGCCGTTGATGTCGGCGGGGCACATGGAGGGCTTGCCCCGTCCCTGCGTGTTCCTGGTGACCAGCTCGATGCAGGGCGACTTGATCCGGACCTGACCCTGCCGCTTGAAGTGGAAGCAGGTCCGGCCGAGCTCGTTCGTGACTTTGGAGGCGGTGAAGAAGAAGTCTATGCCGGTTATCCTGGGCAAGAAATATTGGCAAAGGATAAAGCTATGCGGAACAATTACTTAAAAGGGCCATGCGTTGATTCTTTCTTAGAAAAACAATTTGTGTAACTTTCTACTCTTCTTAAATGTATGAATTTATTTAACATCCCTCTTTGGTTCGTTTTATTAAAAAGTGCACTTTATTTAAACAATTAAAATTATCCATGCTTTTTTCTGACAAATGGGGGCGCTGTTGCTGTGATGTCATTTTAGGAAGACACTGTTCACTTGAGGCTTTTCTGTTCAAATTCTGAACCCAAAATTTGCTCATTGAAAACATTTGTGAGAAAAATCTGCTCATAGGCTTACTGCTATGTACTGACACAACAACGAATCACCAAAGCAAAGACAATTTACGACGGCAAAATATATAAAACTCTGACAAATTTTGGTACGGAAACAGCATGTATAACATTGAGGTTTCTGCCTGAAATGACATCACACTTTTGCTCATGAACATGAAAATTCGCATTGCATTTAAACCAAAAATGCACCAAGTTGTCCTGACAATGGCAAAATAAAACATGAAAATAAGGTCAAATGGGACACAAAGATGCATTTCAAGAATTGCATTAAAAAAAATTAGATCACATGCGTCCTTCGAATTTTCCGCTATGCTATAGTGGACTTCCATGAAACCACGCATTTTGGAAACTTGGAACTTTGGTCAAAGATGAATCTGTTAAGTCTTGACGATCTTCGTCTCTGTACAGCTATCGCAAACGATGCGGAAACTTCTCTCGTTTGGAAAATCGGTACATTTTTATTAAGCTTTAATACACGATCTATGTCCCAAGCTGCCGAAGATGTCATTGAAACGTCTTATGTTTGGAGTTGAGAGGAGCATGTCGGTGGACGGGTCAGCATTTGAGGGATGTTGTATCCTTGTTAACATAATCATATACCAAGACATTATCACTTGGATGAAATTGGTCATCGAAAAGGGTTGGAGTGGAATCACTTGCCAAAATATTTTGATGAGTAAGCGCCACATTAAATCTTGGAGATACCTTTACCTCTTGGGAAAACCATTCCGGTTTTATTCTTCACTGTTTTCTATTCGGTTTTATTGCAGTAATTGCTTTCAAAAACTTCGGAGAAAGGACTGTAGGTGCATAAGCCCTAAGAATGGCTTGGTGCACCGTCTATGCTGAAACACGTTGATTGATTGATAACTACTTCAAAAAGCACCACAGTCCGTGTTGCAATCTCTTGCATTAAGACTAATCGTCTAAATCTTTCTTTTCCTGCAATTCACCGTTTAGTCTGAGAACTAAAGGTTATTTCCGAAGCCTGGTTGTCATTAAGCGCTTTGGCTCACACAGAGAGTGGAGAAGTTTTTTTCTTTCTCTCTCTCTATTACTCCGGGGGATGGGGTCACTATTGGCAACGGGTAAAGCGGAAGGTGTGGCCCGGCCCAACGGGAATCGAAACTTCTCTCCCTGGCTCGGTGGGCAGAAAATAGCACCTGATACGGGGGCGCCGATCTTTCTGGGCCAAAGGGTTGCTCTGTTTGTGATCCTGGCCAAGCTAGGGTAGGCTACCTGGCCACGGCCTCACGCGTATTCACGAAAAACATGCTCGAGCAACAACTGGCCGGTCAAGTGTCAATTTCAGTAATAATCTGGTATTGAATACGACACTCTTGTTGTAATAAATACTCGGTTTTTTTGACGCAAAACTAAACTCAAGTAATCAAAAGGCAATCGAAAGTCATCCAGCGTCAAGTCGAGTTGTTCCAATGAACTGTGACTCTGGCATATTCCTCTGTCACTTGCGACCTTAGGCCTACTTGTAATCTGACTTGTGATTGGATTGTAACTATAAACATGAGACTGCAGGAGTTGGCCATAAATGATTTGACTTATGACTGACTTTGTTGACTTATGGCTTGTGGTTGTCTTGTGATTGATCTGTTACTGAATTTTGAATGAATGACTTGTGATTGGCAGTGGACTGACTTCTGACTGGCTTGTGATTTGCCTGTGACTGACTTGTGATTGGCTTGTGACTGACTTGTGATTGGCTTGTGACTGAATTGTGATTGGCTTGGGGCGGAATTGGGATTGGCTTTGACTGACTTGTGATTGGAGTGTGACTGATTTGTGACTGAGCTGTGACTGACTTGTGATTGGCTTGAGACTGACTTCTGACTGACTTGTGATTGGCCGTTAACTAACCTGCGACTGACTAGTGATTGGCTTGGGACTGACGTGTGACTTACTTGCGATTGGCTTGTGACTGACGTGTGACTGACATTGTGATGGACTCGACACAATTCTGCGTAGGAGGGGAGGAGTTTGACATTTATTTCCCTTTTTATTTTTTTTTACCTGACTGGCACATTGGCTATCGGCTCATTGCACCCCTTATCAGCGCAGGTACTGACAATCACGCAGTTGGTCTCCGGGAAGGTCCGGCCCACGGCCCACCAGGTGAAATGCCGGGCCCCGTACCGCCAGATCATCACTCCACCCCGGTAATACTCCACCTGTCCCTTGCCTGCTCTCATCCACACGCCTTGGAAAAGGTACCAAGAGAAAAAAAGACAAGAGAAAAAGAGAAACAAGAGTCAAGGAAACCGCCAGAAATCGTTAATTCTTTTGATTGAATCACTCGGCGCTGATACTGGATCACCCCTTCACGAAAATTGATACCAAATTGGTGAGTTAGGGTATCTCTCAGCGAACTGAACGCGAGGGGTACGGGTGTAAGTCACCGGCTAAATATAGCCAGAAAACCCACTCTGGGAAGAGTTCGGAGAGAGCCCACTTTCCAAAACCGCCCACTTGTATATCAAGGAGTCCCCCAGGTCGATCCTGGGGCAGTTCAGCTGAAGATACCGTGTGGTCAACTGCTGGGTCACCTAACAGGTTTCTGACCCGTAACATGATGCGCAAAAGGAAAAAGTTGGGGAAAACTAGCTTAATTTGTTCAGGCTGATATGCGTGTTATCTCTTACCGTAAAGCTGCATGGTCCTTCCTTATGGAGGGCGGGTCAGCAGTTTCAATCTTGTACTTTTCTTATATCTTTAAATCTTTTTCCTCCCTCATTCAAACTCTCTTCAACGATTTGACAATGTCCAGACTGACACGGTGCAATATCATTTCCCCTTGAAGTCTAAGGTTACTGAAATTCGAAATTCTGCTCCTTATTGTTACACAAAAAAGTATTACAGGAACCCTAAAGGATCCATGCAGGTATTTTGTCATCTTCCACAGGCTCCTCTCAGCCTTTAAGCAGGCGATAAGACGCCTATAGTTTTATCTTGTAAGACCTTTACAAGGTCCTTAAGGACCGCCTTTGATCATGTAGCAGGTGACGGAAAACCTATGGGAAACCTATAAGATGTTGTGGGATTTTTTTTACCTACGATTCCTCAAATGCATGGACAAAGGCTGAAGGACCTAGGGGCTATCAGCCAGTACCTGATTCCGCGTTGAAGTACCAGGCCTCGATCTGCTGACCGTGCCGTGCATCCGTCAAATCTTCCGGTAGGGGGATCTCGATAATGACCGGCAGGAGCACATCTATCTCCTTATAGGTAGAAGTCTCGTAGATCGAGGTTTCGACCATGGCGTACACCTCTAGGCCTTCCATGTCGTATCCTAAAAATTAACAAGGACAAGGCGATGGCACAAGTTAACATGGAAAGGCATGCGTGTACAGGACCTTTTATTATGTCACAAACACCATAAACAGTATTTTTAAGCTTCCTAATTGGATGATAGATGCGTTACTTTACCTCCTCGTCTGTTTGGCACAGCGGCAATCAGTTCCGGTACGTTGGCCACTTTTTCCTTGTCGGCCATGTCAACGGGAGAGAACCGCATGGTGACCGCTGCCCCCTCGATGACGTCAAGGGCACCTGGCGGAGAGAAACACCAAGTATTAAGCCATACCTCCGTTTAATTCTGCTCAAGATACCAAGAAAGAGTAATACAAGGTTGGGTATCTGCGAGCTGTTGCTTCCACTTTATTCTGGACAGGTCTCTGTCGCATGCTTCTCAAGTATGGACAAGTAAGAAAAATGCGAAATAACTAAATATGAAAAAATAGGAGAAGTTATTGAAAAAATCCAGTTTTTCTTGAAAATGTCAGCACACTAGGAGCCACAACTTTACAGGATGCTTTAGACTGTCATTCCCTAACAACTCAGTGAGGTATTTCGTGATAATTTGATCAGTTCGTTTTTTGATGTTTGCAAATGTTGTATCTTCCCTCTAACACCCTACTTATGCACGAAATAATCATGGAATAATTTTGATTAAGTCTTTGATAGTAAAGACCATTATAATCTTGCTGCCATCATGATTTTTTCCAATTCAATTCAACGTACCCAAAACGAGGCTGGAAGGAAAAATGGTCCGGTTCCTTTTTACACAAAAAACATCATTCAGTACTGTTATTGGATACAGGGAACACGACTGAAATGATGGTCTATTTGTCGGTTTATTTTGCATTTTCAACAATCCAATGACTATACAGGTTCATGTATTTGAAAACACCAATCAACTTCTGATTATTTTTGTAACGGTGACCTTCCAGAGTTTGCAAACCAATGGTTGGCAAAAATCGGCAACTTTATACATTCAATGCTACATTAACAGAGACACAAAAAAATCGACGATTGTATTCCAAGGACATACCATTACCAGTTTAGAGGGGGAAAAAGATCTCCTCCTTAAAAAAAAAAACTTCTCACGACATGATGGGTCCAATTGACATCGAGGTTTCTGCTGCGACCTTGACATTTCTGCAAGATCCTTATCCCACCTAATTTGCAGAAAGTGGGGGAGGTGTACCCTGGAACCCCGGAGCCCACCTTCCCTGTCCCCTGGGGACTTATCCCAGGAAGTCCCCCAATGATTCAGGTAAAGGAAATGAGATGGGCGGATATGGGTATAGGTTTCAACGTTTTGGGCTGCTCTTCCTTCCCCTCCAGCACATCGGCAACATTAGTCACTACGGGGTGTCGGTGAAAGCTGGCTATTTCTTGGTGCCATCGCGCGCGACTGTGGAAGTGAGCTTCTAGGAGATAGTGGTACACAAAAGGGTTTTCATCCTTGTGTATATGTATGATCAATTTGTTAATTGACTAATTGTCTCAGCATTTTGTCCAGCATGTGTCCTTTAAATTGTGCACCGCTGGTCCGGCCATGCCAGTTTCAGCTGAAAACAGTTTAACCAGCAGACTAGAAAAACAAAATATCAGCGCTGTTTTCTTGGATTCAAGGAAGACCTATACGATCATTATTCGTCAGAATGACAGCATTTTTTTTGGGGGGGGGGAAGATGAGGATTGTCTAGCATCGCGGAAACATTGTACGGGGTAAATATAATCATTTGCCTTGTTAAACACCTGTAATGTATACATTCGTATATATGCCACTAAGTACAGAAGGTAGTACAAGCGACACAAGCACCACTGAGTTTTACGCATGTAAATGCATTTTTGTTGTGACGTCAAAGGGACAATGTCTACGAGGTTGAAAGTGGCACCCCGAGACTAACGCTTGGTGGCGCTGTATGCACGGCCTTATGATTGAGAGTCTACGAAAAGCATTATGGGTAGCAAAGTCTATTGACCCCGGTTACTGAAACTCTTACATGGGGTTACAGGCTACGAGCGAAGGTTTGCATCCGATAGAAAAAACACCTTGATCTTTTGGCTGAGTTTGAACCTTAACCCACACTGTGCACTGCTCGTGTATTCCTCTTATCTAGGTTTATACCTATGTCCTCGGCTAAAACAGAGTATTAACAAGGTTGCATAAGATAGTGTTAAGCATGACTGGAGAGGAACTGACGAGCAGGTGAGACAGCGAACATCTCAATCAGCGATTCCATGACTGTACGCGCACCTGCCAACCCCCAGGATGCAAAAAAGGGAGGTGAAACCACCCCGACATGAATGCTTCTGCATAGCTTACACGTGGCCGCCTTTGATAACATCCAACATCGACTTCCCCCCAAAACCAAATTAAGTCTAAAGCCAAGAGATACGCCGATTCAGCACCACGCGCTAATGACTGACATGTGAATCTGCCAGAAAAAAATCTCATCATAACATGTTATCTCCAGTCTGTCCTTCCGCAATCAATCTCTGACTAAACCTTAATGAAATTAGAAACGAAAAAAAAAAGATGACCAAAAATTGATTGAAGTTGAGTCTTTGAGTGGTCTAGTCAGAGATGAGTGTTTTTTGTTCTTTTTCCGAGAACGATTTGAAACCTGGACCATACCTGGCGAGATTTCAACCCGGTACTGCTTGGCTACGTCTTGCTGGTCGCCGTAGGTGATTCGCTTGTAGTAGCCGGACTTCCACGACCACTCCTGTACCTCCTCGGGTAGACTCATTTCAATCGTTAAGACATTTTCTGCATTTTAGGGAATCAAGAATCCACCCATGAACTTATTTTTTTGGGGGCATTGTCAATCACTGAAGTTGTAGGTTGTTTCAAATATAAATACGATTTGTTACTCTTAGATTTTAAAACTTTGCATGATTCAGAGTACAGCTCAGCAGAAGCTTTTGATACACCTTGTGAAGTGTCTACGGAGAGGCGGTTGTGAGAACTTGAGATGTTAGCTATAAACGTTTGGGTTAGTGTGCTTTGGTCGTCTGATCAGGCCCTGACGGAGCGACCGTAACATTTCATGCTCTTTTCAGTATCTCTTTTTCGAATACGGTGACCTCACCTATAGTGAATTCGCTCTAAAGCATACGGGACTTTTAGTTAAAATGCAGAAGTGGCAGTTTGCTTCTGAACGTAATGAAAATACAACTTTCAGGGTCTTTCTATGCAATGCGAATCATGGGACCAGCATAATCATGAATCATATTAGAAACACATAGGTCTGCGCTGAAAATGCACGGATCCTATGCATTCTACTTTGGTATGGAAAATATTTCCGCTGGAAAACGTTTTATTACACAGGATACTTACTTTCCTCTGGTTTGAATTTGTAAACGTAGGAGGTGTCCAGAAATCCTGGTCTTCTAGCAGTGATGATCACCGGCGTGTTTTCTGGGATGATAAACTTCCAGATTCCATCGGCACCCGTGGTGCCGTTTTCCAGTATCCTGGTAGCATTTTCGTTGTCTTCTGGAATCATTAATCGTACATCTACGCCCGGTAGGATGGCATTGGCGTTGCCTGAGTCCACGCTGGTAACCTCGAGCGATGGCGGCGGAGGCGTGGTAGTGGGCGGCTCCGTGGTCGTTGGTGGCACCGTCGTGGTCGGCTCAGTGGTCGTTGGGGGCACGGTTGTGGTCGGAGGTCTTGTGGTGGGCGTGGTTGGAGGTGTGGTTGTGACGGTCGTGGTCGGCGGCGCTGTTGTGGTCACTGTCGTTGTGAGTTGCGTGGTGATAGTCGGGGTCGGTTTTGTCGTTTTGGGATGCTTGATGCGAGCGGTTGTGGAGACGCTTGAAGGCGGCTGCTCTTTCTGGGGTATGTCAGCCGGTTTTGTAGTTGTAATAGTTGGTTTTGTTGGTATCGGCTTTGGAGTTGTTGTGGGCGGATTTGTTGTGGTAACAGTGGTCGTTGGCGGGGCTGTTGTTGTGACTGTGGTAGTTGGTGGCGCTGTTGTTGTGACTGTGGTCGTTGGCGGCGCTGTTGTTGTGACTGTAGTCGTTGGTGGCGCTGTTGTTGTGACTGTAGTAGGTGGTGCTGTGGTTGGTGGGGCTGTTGTGACTGTGGTTGTTGGTGGCTTCGTCGTTGTAACCTTTGTTGTAGGTGGCGCCGTTGTTGTTACAGTAGTGGTTGGAGGTGCTGTTGTTGCAATCGTGGTCGTTGGTGGCGTTGCCGTAGTAACTGTCGTCGTAGGCGGCGTTGTAGTCGCTAACGTCGTTGTTGGTGCCGCTGTTGTCGTAGGCGTTGTGGTCGTCAACATCATTGTTGTCGTGAGTCGCTTGGTGGAGGAAATTTTTGGTGCAGGTGTTGGCTCGGTGGTTGTCAGAGCAACAACTTTTGGTGGTAACTCTGTCCAGATAAATGATAAAACACCGCTTTTTTAAAAAGAATGTTCGTTTTTTAATATAAAGGTAATGTACAGCATTTGCAAACATTAAAAACCAAAACTATCAAATTAATATAAAATACCTAACTTGACTGTAAGTTATTAATAATCTCAACTATCCTGTAAAATGCTGTCATTTTCAAGAACAGTGATATTTTGTGTATCAATTTCCAACGATGGTCGGTCAACCATCGTTGGAAAATCGTTTACATACTGCCCCAAAATCACCGAATTTAGTGAGTTCACATTTTGTTTGGAATTGGTGAAACATCCGTGAAGGGTTGCAAATCAGCTAATCTGGTTCCCTGACCTCACAAATCTCAGACGCCTATAAATTGCTCTATTTCGTCTGAAGTAGGGTTAGGGGACCAGACCACAAGAAAAGCATTTTTTTTCCTTGGTTTTTCCAGCATCCATCAACACAAACTTAAACAGGTCAGTGTAACAATATTTGCTAGAAAATGCTAACCTCCTCATCCGTCCATTACTGAACATCAAAGCAAAAACAAATGTTGTATATTACCTTTAAGATTGACATTTATATCCAAAATTCTATTTGTTGTGGTTTAAAATAAGGTGGAAAAACTTTTATCATACAACTTGCAAAAAGTAACATCGAAAGCAGCAGAACTATCCTTTCAAAGACAGGCATCAGCCAAGCAATGACACCAAAAACAAAAACATAGCAATAAAATATGAACGACTAAACAAAACAAAAATTACGGGAAATCCAACGAAACAATACTGCGCCACTTTTTAGCGGATATCAGGCAAAACAAACAAAAATTACTGACCCTCTAACCGACCGACTGAAAGACTGAAACAGAGATAAAAAAAAATTACAAACGCAAATCATTTATCTGTGAACAAAATCTGACCACTGTGACACATAGCCAGAAACTAACAGCGTTATTACAGACTGAGAGGCTGGCACCATACTGACGGGCACGGCCGACCGTCAGACCATGCAGCTGCTACGTTTTAACTGCCCCCATCCGCTGGCCGAGGGACGGGCAAGGCTGAAGGAGCCTTTGGTATCAACCGAAATTAATTTCTTCCTTTGAGGTGCTATTGTGTAAAAGAGGACATTGACGAGGAAGCACTTGTCTTTCTGGGTCACACTAGCAACCTACTTACAACGGACTACAGGTTTGTCGACACGGCTATGACAATCATTCCCCAAGAATCATAAGAAAAAAAGGACTTAAACAAAATTAATTTTAAAAGGAAATCCCAATTAAATAAAAATGCACACTTATACAAACGAACAAATCAAGACAAGCGAAATATTGGTGAGGGGTTGTAACAGCAGACGCCCGGAACTGTGCCTAAAGCAAGTAAAGACAGTGTCTCTAATGTGACCAAATCCTACGAAAAGAATCGTCAGACAAACTGGAATTTTTTTGGGTGGTTTTTCATACGTGGTAGTTTGATATCTTGCGAATATAAATGTTGGTGAAATGGTTGACTGTTTCTATTGCTTTCCATTGTCAGTTTGTAAGATTGTATTAAACGTCTTTAGCTGTGGGTTCTTCTGACTCTGTTTTGTTGAGTTTTGTCTAATTTCGTATCCGATGGGCGGCTACAGGTTTGTTTACGAAACATTACAAAGATACAGCAAAATTTAACCAAAACAATATACTGCAAGTAAAACTTGCGCAATCCCCTGACTTCCTGCCAGTAGGGGGGGGGGGTGTAAAACAGACCAATCAAAACGACCAGAACAACAAAATAAGCATGGAAGCAAAAACACAATTCGCACAGACTTTAAATTTAAAGCAATGTTCTTGTATATTTACTTTGACAAGCGACTCCATCCCCGATGAATCCTTCTGGACACGGACCACAGTAGAAGAGCGTTACCAGGCCAGGGCCGCTCGGCACGTACTCAATACTGTTTGGGTTGATGTTCCGGTCCGTGCATGTCACGTTGGGGAAGCATGGATCGTTGACACACGTCCTCGGATCTAATTGGAAGATAGAAGAAAATGAAGTAAAGGAAAGCAAAACTAGAGGTGTGTGAAATGTTTTCAACTTTGCATTTCATTTCCTCGATCCACAAGCAGTGATATGAAAACAAAATATGCCGAGAGAATACCAGTATTTCTGAATTGGCAGAGCGAGAATCATAATATTCCAAAATGCTTTCTTTGAACGATTCACGTTTAAGATGCTGCCGTTAGCAGACCATTATCGAATACATCATAGACGAGTCGACAACCACTGGACCATTTGAGGACGTTGCCAAACGAAATTCTTTAAAAGAAAAATAGGCAACTTTAACTTTTTTTGGATGGGGATTTAATTTTGTGTTTTGTTTTGGTATTTTCTTTTGGTATTCTCGTCATATACATCTTTCTCTAGGTGTCTTCATAGTATACGAGAAAACCAACACGTTTGGCTTCCTTAGCTCAGTTAACTTTAACCCACCACTTTGTGAGAATTTGACGAAATTGAACGCCTGATAACTAGAAAATGCACAAGACAAAATTGCCACCCATTTAATTCGATTATCCTCCGCCTATAATTAATCTGGGCTCGGGATTCCGTAGAGTTTAATTAGCATCATCCTGGGATTTACTCTTATCACCGGCGCGCATCGTGCCAAGTAGTGAACAGGAAAGAATGGATTTTCCACGTGTAGATCAAAAACTAGGCCAACCTGATGAAACTTCCAGCACCATGCTCCAATGGTTACGGTGTTCGACTCATGTGCCGTGGTACGTGTAGGTTACATGGTGCTTGTGTCCTCGGGCAAGACACTTTACTACAATTGCCTCTCTCCACCCAGGAGTTTAAATGGGTACTCGTGAAGGTAGAGACCAGATTGCGCTGATCTCGGCTGCAGAAAATGGGTCTCATGTCCCGAACAGGAGTAATAAATGTGAAGTACTATGAAACATTTGGGTGGAAGGCGTTACGTAAACACCACACCATTATCATAGTGCGCCACCGATGAGATTACCGGGGAGAACTTTTTCTTTTCGCAAGGTGTTATGGAATAAAGGTATACGCGGCAGCTTTAACTTTTTAGTTGCAGGTTATTTTTAGTCGAACGATATTTTAAGCCTTACATATTTTACAGAGAAACGGTCAAGATGTAAGAGTTAAAATACACGTTGTGCGCCGCACACCATATGGGACACATTTCTCCATCGTATATTCCCCAATGAATGACTTTTATTATAGGAGACGTCCACGTGCTCCGAAGTCCGACATTAAAAAACAGGATATTAGACATAGCTGGAGAAGCACGCCCGACTCTTCAATAAATAGTGAATACGATCTTTGTTTTACATCGCAATCGGTGAAGTAATTAATGTGAACCTACTACTACTTTATACTCACATATAAACAAAAATAGACATCGTAACTAGCGACCGTAAAAATGTAATGTGGTGAATTTCGATATCGCTGCCATGCTCTTTGGTGCTAACTAATTTTGCACATGCCAAGAGATCCCAGTTTTTTAGAGGCTGACATTATTAAGGTAATTATTTCTAATACATCTTCCTGCTTTGCAGACGCGATCCAGGGTGGCGATGTGTTAACGGAGTTTATCCTGTATAGAGGGGTACCTTGTCGTACCGGTTTTAGGGGCATTCTTTATCAGTTTCTACAATTAGAAATGAAGAATGTCAATGCCTGTGAGATGCAACGGGTGCGCGCTGATTGTGCCTTTCTTAAAAAAAGAAAAGAATAAGAAGTCAAACTTTGGCAGTGACTTTTAAAGGTCATGCGTTTCTTTCAAGAATTTATTACGTCTCATTAGCGCATTTATGCACAAATATGCGCACCCGAATGGGCACCTAAAAATGTAGCAAAATGTGGCGGCGTTTGTGAAGCTGAACTATGAATCTTTCAACGATCGCAAACTAGGCATCGGGTCAACATTTTTGGAATGCAATTTCGAAAGTTTTATCTCTTGCTACATGATTTTTATTATCGAGCATCGTGACAGGTTCAAAGGACAAAACCATCTGCAAGTTTGTTTTATCACTTCTGCCAAACTCATGTTTCTGTGCTTTTTCAAAGCCACATGTGGACTGGATTTTCCAAGTCTTAAGTATCTGCTTTCTAAATATTCTTAAATGGCACATTCAAGAATCGACCGTATATTTATTTAATCAAAACAATTTGTAGAAATCCAACTTCTTATTAACCAATTCAATTATTCATAATTTAATGGAGGTCTGTACAACAAAATCGGATTGCCTTTGACCAAACAACCGCATATCAAAGTTGCATAAAATTGAATTGTTGTCGACAATCTTGTTTTTTTTATGTTAATTTTTAATGTCCGATTGATGACATTGCATCAGTTGATTCAATTTTTGCGGAATCTAGGGCGAGGAGCCTCACCTGGCACAAACAAATAAGTTCACAAAATAAATGGGATTGGACAGAAGACCATTTTATTACGTGACCATCCAGGATTAGTGGGCCTCAGCCTCACGCTAGCCGCCCAAAAAGAGCCGAAACGGATTTCCTGGAGCCATCAAGCGCAAAACCATTCCAAACATAAGCAGGTTTCCATCAAAAATGTCACGAGAGGCATAATTGCTCATGACATATGGTCCATTCCTTACTACTGTCTCTCATCTGAGCTGATGATGTTTTTCTTTTAAACTTAGCTTGCAGATCTGCTAAGCACTATGGTTTTGCTGGGCAATTCAGCAGCTACGTAAAAATTTGGCCCTGCGGCTATAGACACAGATTGCGCAAGCTGGCTGTAGCAATTTCCACTCATTTTCTAAGTCACTATAAAGCAACGTCGGCCAAGGACAGTTGTATTAGCGCAAGTTTTGAACAGATTGCTCAAGCAGCGTGCTGTGGAGAGTTCGGCCAAGCCCGGCTCCAGGGGAGTCATCCGCCAGGACCTAATTAGACTCACTTCAAGGCAGACACCATATCAACACTGCCTATCAGGGGTGACATAATAGCTGTGTCAGTTCCCGTGACCTTGGAGTTTAGCGATGAGACACTTCTCCCACGACAGCGACTTTCGCAGTTATCTCTGACGATCGTTTCTATAACTCATCACCTATAGCGCGGTGCGGCGGCATTTATTTCACTGACAACGTTTAAAATAAAATGATACAACATTTCGTTCAGGCCCCAATGACACGCAAATTTCGGGTGCATTTGAACTTTACATCATCAGAATGTTCAACGCATGTCTGTTCCAATTTCCAGTTGATTTCCAGAGATGGTATTTCCCAAAAGATAGTGAACCACACCGAAACAAACTTGTCCTTTTCAATCACACCAGATTGGTAAAAGATGAAAGTGCGATGAATTCAAAGGTCGCATTTCATGACATGGCTAGGAATGGGATTACTTTAAAGTGCAGTAGGCCTATTAGAAAGCATAGAAGTGGTGGTCTTCCAGCGAGTTCAAACAAATTTAGAATTAGATTTACTTCTTTGAAATAAAACATCTCAACAATCTGTAACAGTAACGGTGTAAGTATTAATATAACCTCCATGGGTTTGCGTTAACGGACTAATAAGACAACTCAACAACAATGATGAAAAGCATTTTGTATTGTATACAAGTTTGCCTTTAATCTCTTAATCTCACGATTCGTCGTGTACAGAAACTGACATAAATTCTAATTTTGACACTGTGACAAGACATTCAGGCCATCAATCTTGAAGGAAATGTCTTCTGGGACGGATAAATATGCACAGGGTTGCAGGTCAGCGTCTACGCCCATGTTCTCGGCTGACGAACACCTACATTGAAATGCTCTTTGCACTCAATGCACTTCTACACCCAATCATACCAATTAAGTTTCTAAGACTAAACGCGTATACGGCGTGTTTTTTAGTAACCACCCCTCGTGATATGTCTTCGAGTTCAAAGAGGTTTCCTACTGCTAGTTTACATATGGAAGCCATCCACCGACATTATTGTTACGAGGGGATCTCTAGATGGGTAATATTATGCCTACAGTAGGCCAGGCATAGCTAAGACAACAACGGAAGAGTGTTATATGATGCCGGGTGTATAATACGGCCGCGTTAATTGAAATCTGTTGACTTTTGTGGCCCGAGCACTCCCCTGGCCACCACCGGGGCACATACTCGGCCATCACCCGTTGAGTTGTTATTATTTACTGGATATGGTCCGGTCTTGGACTTGAGGGTCAGTCGTAAGGGGCCGTGGCTTAGAAAAATAGACTTTCGGGGCTTTAGTGAGTGACTAGAAATGTAACCCAGATGTCTATGGCGCAAGGGTGTTTATATCGCAAACTGTTTTTCAAGAGAGGTTAATTCCGAGCGCGAACCACCTCTCAGTGGCCAGTTGTCATGCGAGGAGGCATTTACTCCGGCCAGCTTTGCCTGATTTACTGTGGCAGGAGTGTTGAAATATGAGCCAAATACGAAGAAAAGGAGTGCGAAAACTGTCCGGAAATTTTGATTTGCCACGTTAAATTAACGGCTAAATAAACCGCACAGACATGTTTTTTTGACACAAAGCTGTAAAGAACCTTGACTTGCTAGACATTCACAACATGTAGAGTTTGGGTTCAATTAGGTTTAACCTTTTTGGGGACAAAAACGACACTATTCCGCGTCTTAATTACACTTCCACGGGTCATTTTTGACCCGGAAAAGAGTGTCTTGTTTAGTGTGTGCAAGCTAGGAAAACACCTGTGGGTAGCAGACACTGATCAGGCTATTAATTTTGTAATTGCTATATTGACATTGACAGAAAGGGTACAAATTTCGATAGGGACTTTCAAACTGTGAGAAATTATTTACGTTGAAGGGGTTTCTTTTGATCTGCTTTGGTAATCCATGGGCTATCTACCTAGGGGAATATGCTGATGAGATCATTGCCAGATATGACAGATGGGGGTGGGTGCTGAATGTACTTCCCCCTCTCCGTGTGTCTTCAATAAAGCAAAAACACACAACAGTTGACGAGGGTTTTACCAAATGTATGTGAATCATTAGAGTCGTGCGATCCATGGAGAGGCATTGATTGATGGGGCATAGTCACCACAACCATAAACCTCGGGGATGGACAGCAGCCTCGGCAGACCGTTCCCCGTCAGCCCTGGGCCCGTGATAGATCACACACCAAGGGGTCAGTTGCCAATGCATTTGTAGGAAATTGAAAAATATTTGCCAAACAAACAGGGAGAGAGATCACTTGGGTTAAAACGTGAGGCAGACGGTAAAAGGTCTTCCACCTCTGATAAATAAGAAACTGGCACAGGGTTGGGACAATTCCCGAGGAGTGACTTTACACTCACGGAGGTCCAAGTCGCATTCTGTAATCTGAATATTCAAAGGTAACGTTTTGATTATTTTCGTTTTAGTTTGACCACATCATGAAGCGCAAATAATGATATATCAATAACCCTTTTGCAGACTGCCGTACACTCTAACAATATCCGGGTCGGATTGACCCAGAATGCGGGTACTATTTGGATCAACCCTTTTTCAGATCAAAAATGACTTTTTGTTTCCGGGTCAAAATGACACTTTTTTCCCGGGACAAAATGACACTTTTTCGTGTCAAAATGAAACTTTTCCGTGACAAAATAACACTTTTGTCGTGTCAAAATGGTTTCCGGGACAAAATAAGACTTTTCCGGGACAAAATAACACCGGGAAAAGTGTCATTTTTGACCCGGAAATGGGCTGAGCCAAAAAGAACCCGCATTCCGGGTCAATCTGACCCGGATGTTTTAAAGTGTATTCGAAACAATTCCAGTTGACCTATAAAATATAGAATCTACTTTTAGACAGGAAAACCTTAGCATAATATGAAATTGACGAGACTTGATCTTGTTCCGATAAACTGCAGTCAAACTGTCCATGTAGGCCTACTTAATTTCCTTTTTTTTTTTTTAGGATCGGCGCGATCATGGAACGCCATTCTGTAACGGAAGTTGCTAGGATCACACTCCGATCCGATCAAACTCAGTCGATACAACTGACCCCCTACATCAAGAGTATATTTTCATAGTGTTTGCCACATTTCCTTCGCGCTTCGTCACTCTTCGAGTTCCTTTCTGTGTCAACGTGTCTGGGATTTTTTTTTAAACCGTCTCGGTCCCATCGAGTGTATTTTAGGCATGTATGTAAATGCATTGTTGTTTTGTCCCAAATTCTCTTCCCGGTCCGACGGACTGTGTAATTTATACAAATCTCTTTGTACACTGAGTCTGAATTCAACATGAGAAACTAAAGCAAGAGATGAGTCCTCGAATTTAAGCCAAGGTGGGAGTTAAGTATTTTGGACAAACAAAATGCTGAAAATGAAGGTTTATTTAAACAAATAAAATAAAAAAATCTGCATAATTGTGTGCATTTGCACTCGTTGCACACTTTTATTTTACTATACTCTCGAGGACAATGCTTTGTGTTTCCCTTCGTCCCTGTAATATAACATTCTCCCATCGACTAAGCACATAAACTTACTACAGAGGACCGTTTCCAACAAAAGACCCAACTTCCGAGGACCAAAAGGATCTGTTGTTCTCCCTCCCTGTGTCTGTCATCGGGGTTATGTAGAACAGGTACTCCTGTTGCACGTTCAGTGTCAAACCGTCATTTTGGGCCTCAGTTGTTGGTCAAAAACTCTGGTAATAAGGTTTGATTCCCATTATAAACTTTAAACTTCAGTATAAACGCTCAGGGGCTCGCAAAAAAGGTCAGTGAGGTGAACTTACCTATTGGGACACAGTAGGTGCCGTTGCCTGCGAAGCCTGGCTGGCATTCACACCTGTAGCCCCGAACCCTGTTGGTGCACATGGCGTCCTTGTGGCAGTTGTGCCGCCTGGTGGCGCACTCGTCTTCATCTGTTGGTGGACGAGAAATAATTTCGTTCAAGTTGCAAATACAATACATCTTTTAAAAAAGGGAAGGATTCTGTCTTAATTATTTCATTTGGCTATTCATTCTTGTTAAATTCCATCTGGTAGCGAAATATGGATTATTTAATAAAGTACGAGCACAGTCACTCGAACACTGGAAGACATCTTGAGGGAGAAGACAATGAAGACAAGGTCGGGACTGAACTGATAACGCAATCTCACACAAAGTCATGTTTTTAATGAGCAATTTTTTGGGGGTTTACAATTTAAACAGAAAACCCCTAAATTGAACAAGTAGGTGTCTTCCTGAAATGACATGACAGTAACAGCGCCCTCGGTTGTCCGAGAAAAAAACATGGCAATTAAAAAAAAAAAAATGCTCAACATTTAACCAAATCGGAATGTCAAATACTTTTCATACATTTATTTAAGAGCAGTAGAAGTTGCAGAAAATGTGAAAATCTCATAGTCCCTAAATCTAAGATGCTGCATTTTACGAAGCTCGTCTTTCATCAGTATGATAACTGCTCCTTCACTGGAAAAAAAGTAGCAGAGAAACAGTGTCCTTGAACAACGTTTTAAGACAGCTGTATTATGTTTTTACTTGGAGGAAGTTGGTTTAAAATAAGGATCTAACCAAACATAAACGATGTCAAGGTTATTGTCTGGGCGAGCGTCTAATGTTGGTCAAGCTTTAACGGCTCGGCACAGAGTTTCCTCCGACAGGAAGATCGGGCACGATGGAAAACAACTTTGATGAATGACGATGTTTTCTGTGGTGAAAGATTAGATTATAGCTTTTTTAAAGTGTCGTTGATGTAATCTTTGACTAACTACACACATTTCACTCATGAGAGCGGAAATCCAGTAGGCAGTACGCGTGCTGCTGGCGCATCTCCAAATAAGTCGAACAGAAAAGTACATTCCATTTTGGTACTGCTTAGTAGATATAGAAATAATAGACCTCTCGCAGTAGAATCATGTTAGAATCGCGTCAACGCAGCTTGTGAAATATTAACCAATTACACGATATACAAATTATGGAAGCGGAACGCGCAATAGACCGCTTGCAGACGCGATCGATAATTGACGCGCGAAGGTGCGCGACGCCATGTTATGGGACAAAATGTGCATAGATAGATATACGCTTGTCCCACAACATGGCGTCGCGCGCCTTCGCGCGTCGATTATCGAACGCATCTGCAAGCGGTCTATATCTGAGACAAAAATAGAGTTATATTTAAATTGGTTTCGTGAAATCGCACTGTTTCGTGAAATCGGCTGCAGGTTTTCAGCAAGTGAGCTCACAAAAAACAGTCATGCATGTGTCACCATTTCTCGAAATCTGACAAACGAACTTAGCTGATGATGAGTCTATATGATTGACCTTCAACTTGATTTATAGGACAAATCACCAATTACAACGAATTTGACACAGTGAATTATCCACTGAGGTCATCGCAGCCTGGGCCTCCAAGATTACTGTATAAATGTTTATCAACACGACAAGGTTTCTTGAGGGAAGGGTCGGTGGACGTGCGGCCACAACCCCTATCTTTGTTTAAAAAACACCGTAAACTTGGTTTACTTTTGGAACTGAGTGACGGTCAGTTTGTTTTTCAAAGCTCAGCGAGTGCTGACTACTGGCTTTTTACGCCCCAAGAAACAGGCAACAGGACGGTGACTATCACTTTGAACTCTCTACTCTAAAGGTGTCCATCAAAGACCTTAACAACACTAACACTAAGAAATGTTTACTGTATCTACTGTGAAACTACCCATCAAGAGATCTATACATAAACTTTAAATGCACGTTTTGTACTACCTGAGGTTAAAGGATAGATGACCGCTTCGACACTCCCCCCCCCCCAAAAAAGTTTGGATTTTATTGAAAAATTACGTCTCGAGAACTCAGAACCGAACTTTGTTGATACCCGGTTCCTACAAAGACTGGTATACCGGTTTCAGTTCCTCGTTTGGAACCGAGTAGAACCGGTAACCGGCTGAACATCCTAAGTCTATAAGAGGATATAAACTGTACTAGGCCTTTAGATTTGAGTTATCAGGCTTCTTATAACCGTCTCCTTATTGATCTTGTTCTTCATTTATTTGTTGCTCATTTTTTTTTTTTATGTTTGCTTGTTTTTCTTAATGTTCATGTACTTGTTTTTTGGGGTAATATTTGTTTGTATGATTAGTCCTGGTCAAAATAATGCCTAATAATATTCCGTGCAAGTTTTGCCATTTAAATGCATTTGAAACTTTTTCCATAACCGTACCGAACGACCAGCATTCCAAGAAAGCTTTGCCCAGTTTTGTTTGCAAACGCAAAATGTTGACCTGATTTTGGCACTTCGCATACCAAAGTGCATGCAGGATGAATTACTGCCGATCTTGCCGATCTTCGAAACATAAACAGTTTTGGGCTTGTTCTGATGTTTTTGCGAAAAAGTTCAAGGCTACAGTTACAGAGTCACCAGGACCATATATCTGACAGCCTTGGCCTTATAAAAAGAAACTAAGCTTCGTTGGTGGCTTCCTTGAAATGTTGCCCGCCGTTATTATTGTCTAAACACGGCCCAAGTGCATACTTGAGCGTATCATTAGCCAGAGAAAGTGTATAGACCACGATATCAGTTGTAGTAGACTGACAGAGAAGTTCTTCATCCCGGCGATGCACACCTATAATTCGGAAGATTTATGGCGACGATAGCTGATGTATGTAAAGCGGTGGAATGACATGTTTTTCAAGGGGGGATGGAATGCAACCTGGCTGGCCCATGACCTAGTGTCTTGAGGTCGCCAACTTGACCTCTGTGACCTCTTGGCTTAGATAGTCTTCAAGTTCACCGCCTTTACAGATCCCCTTTTTTGTGCAAAGCCTTCCTGAAGCCAAAGTCTCCTGGCAAAGAGACTCGTGTAGACCTTTCCTTAGTTCGTAAACAAGGGCATACATTTAAGCATAACATTCCACATTAATACACTTATAATGTAAGAAAGAGGCACATGAAGTCTTTATTAGCGTATGTTGGCTATTTTGAATTTTCAACAACTGAATGATATGTTTGGAAACATCTATAACTATTCGATATTTTTGCAACGTTGGTAGGTAAAAGTGCCGACCACGGGTCGGCAAATAAAATGTCTATATTCTTAATGCCATTTTCTGGCAGTCACGTCTATTCTATGATTCAGGTTAATTCTAAGATTCAAAGTTTAATTCTATGATACAGCTTATATTGAATGTAACCATATATATCAGCGAATCGCTTTACATTAATGATTTCCATACGCAAGAGAGATATAATCGATGGGACTTAACATTTGGCTTCGCTAAACCAGATTGTTTTTAAACTGATAATCTTTGACGAACCACTATCAAAAGCTCGCACTTGTTCCGGATGTCCGCGAATCACATTTAACGCGATACGGAGTCATCATAACCCGTCCCTTACCGAATTCAAATTGGTTAAATTCCGGTCCCGGTATATTGATGAATGTCTTAATTGGAATTGATGCTTCTCTTTCCATGAAGAGGCAACGTAGGCTTTTCGAGGGCAGCTTTTCTTTGACATATTTTTGGCTCGATCTGCGCGTCAATTTAGAACTCTCTCCCTCTCTAACAATGTAGGAAAAGAATATGGTGACCTTTAACATATGCAATTTACACTTAAACAATGGACGTATTCACCACCCGAAAAGTAAGCTCAGAATTACTTCTACGCACGTATCATGTAAGACAACCCACTTGATGAAGCCAAAACTGATAAATCAACTCAAATATAAAGTTGTAAATTTTCTACCGATGCACAATGCACTAACAGCTGGGCTTTCTTCAAGTTCAACCGAAATGACATAAAAGAACTCGGACACATACTCACCAAAGTTAATCTTGTGATCGAAACTCTTTAGTACGATGTATATCAAATTTCTGGTCTTGAATGTTTTATGCACAACATAAATCACTAATTCCTTTGTGTTAAGCTTTTCACATTGTATCTCCAGAGAGGTGTTCAAGACTTTCATCTAGACCATTTAGGGTCCCGTGAGCTACTCGAGGTGGCTTCATGTCTTAAGGCCTCAATTCTGACCTGCCGTAAGTTTACGTCAGAGAAAATATTTCTTTCACAGCCAGCGACAAATTAAGCAAGGTTTTAACGACATGATCCAACTGTTGAAGCAAGCTTTTGCTCTCCGTGTCGTGTCAACCTGAGCTCTATACATACGGTTGCCAATGTTTTACATCAAGTTTGCGTGGTTTACGACCTACGTCTAGAATATGTTGGATGGTGATGAATGACCGAGGAACCAACTAGAACTTAGTATTCGTCACTTAAAAGACATATTATTCTGATTATGAATGTTGCTGAGGACTGAGTTATGGACACAGAATAACTGCCCAGGGGAATCGAGGTTAAATGATGGACGCACATTTACTGAAAGTTTAAAAGCATCGAATCACATCACAATGGTCAAAATTTTCATTACTTTTTATCATACCACTAGTTTGAAAATATGGTTTGCAGTTTGATTCTGTAAACTACAACGCATTGTCTAATTGACTTATTTTTTTTCTGAAGCAAACTGTAACCCTCTTTTGGAAAGAACTTACGTAAGCAGTTTCGGGACCAACGTTCTGCAAGAAATTAAGCAATAATTGCCATTTTTAAAATGGTATTCTATTCCATGCCTTATGAATAATGAACGCCTACAGGGGTGAAATAGTTTTTCATATCCCACATTTTTGGTTTTCTGGCTTGATCAGCAGAATTCATTGCAAATTCCCAGGGTCTTTGCAAAAAATGCGATTACACATTTCGATGGTAAAGTCTCTTTGATTCAATAAGCCCTGTTTGTTTAGATCATTTCCCGAGGAAATGAAGTCATTAAGGAACTTGATCTGCGCACTTCGGCTCTGCCATGCCCGCGGTACCCCATCGAGACCGTAATAATTACACCCTGTCAACGCAGCGTCGCTTCATGTAATATTATTTTATATCTCCCTCTACATGACATATCTTATAGTTACTTATATTCATGTGGTCATTGCGGACAACAGCTGGATATTTAGTACCCTGGCGAGTATTCAATATAACACCCAATGAGGGTGGTTGACATACGCAGCCCCGGTTACGGTCAGTGAAGTCAGGTAAATTATTAGTGTCAGGCAATATTAAAAACTATACCACTGTGAACGAAACACCATGGGTGACACTATGGGCGCATAAACAAAAATCATATCCTGCTAAGGACCGAATGATATAACTATTATTATTTGTTATACCATAATGGACGCTGTGAGAAAGAATAAGCAAACTTTAAAAAACAAATCGCGAAACAACTGAAGAATTTGTAGAATCGGCACATATTCTTGTAACAGATAAATTAACATTTTTGTGGTTAGACCACCCGGCCCGACGACCGCCTGAGCTGTCGACATAAGATAGATGGCCTGCTATATCCAATAATTCTGACAGTCTGAACTTTTACGTGCACTTGGATTTCTTTCTCCAGTGTTTGGGTAATGTTGTCTAGGATCGAAAACTCGGGGTCAACAAAATACCACAAAACCGTAAATTAGTCTCATGAACTTTATAACAATCCAGGATGAAAATGCGCTTTTATTTCGTCTTCACCACTTTTAAAAAAACGACTACAACATTCATGCTGCATCTTTCCATTCCAAAGAAACTTTTTCCTTCATAATTTTTTTCATGAGTGATTGGGTGGGTGTAGAATCAACTTTGTTGCTGCATTTATTTCATAAGTACTCTGTACCACATCACAACCATGCTTGACCGAAACCATCTGCAGCCTCAAACCACCGAGGGAAGCCCGGCCACTAATGGGCAATTCCGTTCTGGCAAGATTTTGTCTCGAGGTAAAGACAGAGAGAAAGATGGGGGTAAGAGGGAGATCTGGGCCGCGAGGAAGTAAGCCGTGTGCTTCCCCTGGCGGAAGCGGCATGACTCACCCGGCCAGGACCATGATGAGTGGTGCTCTCTAAGAAACTCCGCTATTTTGTGTTCACAATATTTTTCCTGGTCCTCTAAATAAAAGACGCCAATGACCACCGGCGTATCTCCGGTTCAGGGGGCCAACAAAAGGGGCCTTTTTTTCTGGAGGGGTACTCAGTGGGTTTCGAACTTTTAAAACAAAGTGTTTTTAGGTTTTTTTTCTCCAGGTTCTGATAGGAGCGCTAGGGGAACATACTTCAAGATGTGAAGGGGGGCATCTACTCAAATAGAGGGCTGCCTTTATTTATTAAAAACTAATCCCTCTTCTCCATTCTCGATAAATTATATGTGGAGTGCCGTGGCCTAGTGGTCTAGAGAATTGAATTTGTGGTCTGCGGGTAATTCTGCAGGTTGTGGGTTCGAGTCCTGCCCGGAGTTGTGGTGCGTGTGCCCTTGAGCAAGGCGCTTAGTCACTCATTGCTTCTCTCCACCCAGGAGCAGATGGGTACTTTTGAGGGCAGAGTTGGTTACTGTGAGAGGTTGATTACGGCCAAGTGCGCCGAAATGGCTGCCTACCGGCCGTGTATGCTCCCCAGGGAGTTGAGAAGGTTTCAGGAGTGTTTGCCCGTTGAACAGGGGTAATAATAATTGTAAAGCGCTTTGATACCCCGTTTAAAAGCGCTGTATAAATGCCTGTTATTGTTATTATATATGACTACATTGGTACATGTTGTCTGGCTGCAACGAATTACACATTGGCAAGACTTTGTGTGCATTGGAAATTTCAGGAATGATATGAAACGATTTAAATAGCCTGACAACATGCATGTTGTTGTGCATTGCATGACGTGATATAGATTTATAATTACGTTTTTATTTTGGAAATGCATCAACGGTGACACTTTTCGCTGTACTTTACCAGAGTGTGTGGGGAGCGTGGGGAGTGTGGCCTAGCTGTTAGGGTTCGTGACTCATGATCAGAGGGTTAGGGTTTCGAATCCAGCTGCTGGTCATATGTTGTGTCCTTGGGCAAGCCGCTTCACCCCCACTTGCCTTTCTCCACCCAGGAGTATAAATGGGTACCAGCATTAGCTGGGGAGTAACCTGCGATGGACTTAGCATCCCATCCAGGGGTAGAAGAAATGTTCTCAGTCGTTTCAGGCTACAGAAACCGGAGATAAACGCCAGCCTGATGGGCCATATTGGCTCGTGACAGACTATACTAAGTTATACCAAGGTGTGGTAGAACGTATAAAGAATACTTAAACTTTTGGTGCTATTATTTTAAGTTTGCAAAGAAGAATACAATAAAATCTTACTAGACTTGAGAATTGTCACGAAAAAAAAAAAGGTTCCTATAGTGGTCCAGTCAATGGCAAACAGATGATTCAACTTGACATTTGAAATGTGGGGCACTTGTCACAATGTTGAACCGCCAGATAGGAAGTGGTGGAACATAAATTACTCGGGTTTATAGGAAGCACTCTCTAACAGTCCTCATCCTTTGCATACCTCGCGCTAATGGAACAACCACAATGTACAACTTGCACCTGGAGAAGGAAGGGAGGTTGGCATGTCGTTATAGAGCCCTAGGCCTATCCTAGGTTTTTGCTGTCGGATCACCAATTGGGAATGCTCACTCATCATTATTTTCACCATAGGATCTCAAACATTCCTAGTTGCGACATTTCTAGGCTGTCGACACTGATGCATCAGAGGGATAACTACGGTGGCTCCGAACAGCCATCTCATTTTCTCAGACAGCACTGCGAATTTCTTTCACGATGAAATTTACGAATGTGCAATGTCCCTTCAAAGCCAACACAGACTTGAAAATCTGCACTAATTCACGTAAAGTGTTCTTGATTGTGAATTGACTTTTAAAGAGGTACCCGATATTTATCGGGAAAACACAATCAAAGACAACTTGCTGTATATTGTTTTCCGAGTCATCCTTTGGCTTTAAAATTTAATTCAAAACGCATCACATTGGTGTCCAAGTTCAATACTAATTGAGTACATTCGCCATACATTCAATATCACCCTGAACACATTCTGAAGATTTTTCAGTATCATTCTAATGTTGTCTTTGCCATTAGTACACTTCTGAATACATTTCTTAATTACCTCCGCCAAGGAGGTTATATCTTCATCGGATTTTGTTGGTTGGCTGGTTGGTTGATTGGTTTGTCTGTTAACAAGATAACTGATAAAGTTACGGACAGATTTGCATGATTTTCTTTTACTACAAAACAAATCGATTAGATTTCGGATGTGATCCAGATCTGGGTCAAGATCCAGGATTTGTTTTTAAAAGCATTCTTCACCATTTATGTGAGCATTTCTTTTGGGTGTACTGACAATAGGGCGGGGAATTGTTCAGCCTTGGCGGAGGCTCGCGCTCTTTGGGTGCTTCATAGTTCGAAAATAAATGCAATTTTTCTTGACTCACCGGCACACTTGAATTGTCCGTCGATGAATTTATAGCTCAGTCCCATCTGACACATGCACATGTGGCTGCCGTACGTGTTGTGGCACCTCTTGTCTGACGGGCATATCGATGGGTTCTCCACACACTCATTGATATCTGCATTGAAATATCGTAGAAAAAAATGATAGTTGAAATTGATATCTTGTAATTGTATTTGCAAAAAACAAAACAAAAAAACACACGAAAAGACAATTTATATCTAATATATGAAACGATTAAAATTTTTACATTTGATAAAGTTCATGTGATGAAAGAAGTTTATGTTACACATAGAAAGACCTGTATATAGTAAAATTAACATAATTTGTATGGTATGCATTACTCTACATTAGTGGTGGAATAATATGGATCACAGGGTCTTAAATTAACACAGCAGTTCATTCAGTGTCAAGAAATGAGGCCGATTAAGGAATCTGATTTATGTTATCATTATTTAAACTGTCTTATACGGTTTAGGAAATCACGAATTAGTGAATCAGCAGCTAAAGGTTTTCACCTATTATTATCGCAATGATTCTTCAATGATACAAAGCAAGTTTGTTTAAAGTCTTGAATCCATAACTGTACGTGCACTATTGTAGATAGTCTTCCTAAGACAGCTGGAGCAAACATCGAAAAGTAAAACGGATTTTTCAGTTCTTAAAGGCGCATGAAGAAAAAGCCGTAAGGCAGAAGTTTAAACTAGTGTTTTGAGTTTCTCAACAACAAAAAAGAAGAGAAATTGAAAAATTAGCTTCCAGAAAATGAACGATGACCAATAGGGCTCAGGGTTGAAATTGCCGAACGACGATACGAGAAACAAAAAGCTGAGCAAACCAATCCATGCATAAACCATGTCTAAGCACATTCTTCAGCTTCTCGGGGTACCTTTCTAAGTAAAAAAAGAAGAATGTTTCCATATCTGGAAGGAAATATTAAAGTCTTAATTTGCAAAATACTGGAGGCTTTACATTCGGGAAATCGGACAGTTTCCTGTTCCCAGGGGGAAATCCTCTTAAATGGTCCGCGATGACAGACAATGCAGCTATCACCCATACAATATGAACTTTGTGGTTCGTCCGAAATAGTAACTGCGTGTCCTTTATAAATTGTTGCCAGCAATACCGACTGCGCAGGCTTCCTACTCATTGGCAATGTAAAACGTTGGCCTTCCTTGGCCTTTATGCCTGTGGTAATGTGCACTCTTTTCATTGATATGGGAAAGGTTTAACCCTAATCCTAAGGCTAACCCTAACCCCACCCGAAACTCAAATACCACACACGTGCATGGTGATAGAACTAGAAGGAACTAATGACAGTTGTTTCCTAACGACCACTTTCAGAAGTTCCCTGAGCTGCATGAACATACGCACAACGATTATGGAAGCTGAAGTCGTTGACAAAGAAAAAGAAATCTGTGTAATAAGGTGTTATGACGGCAACAACAGTGTTTATTCGCAGTCACCCAACGCACCAAGCAACGTGCGCATGGAATTGCAAGCCACACCCAAAACAAACCTTGCTTCAAGTCTCAGTACAAATGTGGTAGCCTATTTCCCGGGCTTTTGATTCCAAATCAGTGAGGTACCCTTTGCCATAGTGAATTTGCCAAATGCTCACGAAAACCTTAACTCTCACAAACTGATCTTTGCACAATGTATCACATTATTGTTTGGTATCTTGATGTGCAAGTAATGCCATGGTACAATATTGGACAAATCATCACTTCCAAGTGCAGCTGCCTTTCGGGTAACTTCATGTCCCCTCAAAACATTCTCTTAACACTCTCAGATTATTCTCAAAGAGAAAATTGGACGCCTCCCGCTATATAAAGCAGACGTATAATTGCACACTTATAACCGAAGATCACTCCTCAAGTGAGTTCTGGAACACAACTCTCGAAAAGGTCAGGCGGTCGCTCTCACAGCGGGATTGAGGCTAATTCCAATTGACTTCATCTGGGAGTCTCCGAGACACTGTAGCGCCGGTCTTCTTCCCCCTGTCTTGACCTTGGCATCAGCTGGGGGGAAGGGGGGGGGGGGGGGGGAGAAAAGGAAAAACACTCACGAGTCGGTCACTCGAGGAACTTCCCACCCAAGTATTTTGCTGTTTCCGTAACTTAATTATCACATACACATTAGAAGCTTAGTACACGACGCCGGTTGTAATGAAAAATAAAATGTCATCCTGTGTATACTGAAAAGAGGGCCCGGCTAGCACTAATTGATGGAGAGATGTTAACCTGCTCTCTGCTATCATTAACACATCACAGTAATTAAACATCAAAATATCTTTCAAGGTTGAAAAACATCATACATGTACTTGCCACGATCACAAATGTCCTGTGCGAAGTTCGTCCCAATTTGATAAGGAGTGTGGATTTGTCAAACTGCTTGGCATACACAGATAAATGAAGCTAGCCAAGGATGTGTTTCCAAGACGCAAATTGAACATTAAAGGGAATATGAAACATTTGCAACATCAAAAAACAAAACTAATATTATGAATTTCTTCATATACAGGACTGCTAGTGAATGACAGTCTATATTCTGTAAAATCATGGGACCTGGTGTGCTGTCCTCTTCATGCAAAGTGGTACTTTTGTTGCAGTGGTGTATCTGGGGTGCTATTTGCAAGGGCTTACTCAGTGGATTTGGTTGTTGGTTTCTTCTCCGAATTCTGAGCGGGGGATCGGAATACGGGGAAGGGGAAGTGCGCACAAGCCACAAGGGGGGGGGGGGGTGTCGTTCCCCTGCCAAAACAATACGCCACTGGACAAAAGTACAGAATATTTCCAGTAATGTGTGTGTGTGGGGGGGGGGGGGGGGGGGCCTTAGTTCAAGACCACCTGCGATACAGTGTCACTCGTTTAACCGCAATGAGGTTTCCTGGGGCTCAATCACGTACCAGCTCATCAAAGGATGACGCGGAACAAGCCTTGGCAAGCGTAAGCCTCGTGTCCTGCTCCATCCGACCATCTGAACCTCTTCCACTGCAACGATAATGCCTTATACTCCAGTGAAGACACTTGAAATTGAGTTGGGTGACCCTCATGATGGGTAATCATCTGAGTCCTGTTAATCACACATTCGCGGTATCTTCCTCGGGTCTAAATCTATTATGACCGGTGTCAGCAACCTCGGGGGAAGTACATACAATCTTCCCGGTCTGCAATGTAATCCGTCTGCACATCTAATCGGTCTCGTAAGATCTTCGGTGACTTAGCTCGTGATCTGTTATCTGATGATCGCGCGAATACAGGAAGGAAGACATTATTGATAGGACTGGTCAAGTTAGACATGTGCTTTCAGACACCATCCTTCACCATCCCTCGTGATTAGCCAACACAGCGCCATCTACAGTTGGAGCCCAACTCGGAGCCCACTAGGCCCTGGGCACACAGCAAGGGCTTGCGTGTTGATAATTATTTTGCGGTATCGGTCCAATGTCAATGCCACTCATCTGATTCTGATGCCCCATCTTAAATCCATACCTTCCTCCCAAGTTTTTAGCACTATAAATCTAAGACAAAGTAAATAGCTTACAGAGGTTCGTTGAAAATGAACCGGCTTATAGACTGTCGAAAAGCATTCACTATTGGAAAGTCAAGGGCTTCAAGGGATCGACCTTGACATTTTTTTTACAATTACTATAATGTTCAGGTTCTTTACAACATCCTTGCCTTGGCAAATAATAATTGGCGCCCGGAGTACAGTGCCTATTATAGGAACAGCGCAAAGGCAAGCACCTTCCGGATCGGACACAGCCTGGAAATTGACTTACCGACCGCATATCGGGGCAGGGTAACATACATCACGCAAACGTTAATTGTCTGTATCAGGTCGTGACAGAGAACTCTACAAAAGTGTGTGTGTGTGTGTGTGTGTGGGGGGGGTTATTTGGGAGAAAATTTATAACATCAAGCATGATTCTTGAGATGTACAGTGTGGTGCAAAATGAAGGAAACCCACTTTTGACAGCTATTTTCACCTACTTGTTGAGCATATTTCAACAATTCAATTTAATGGTATTAAAATATTAATCTTTAAACATAAGTGACGAAAAATTATTGCACATGCATATTTTTTTCTCTACCAGATATAGTAGGTTAAAACTTTCATGTGCCAAACCTGTTTGTCCACGGATGGCTTTATTCCATCCGCTTGACTGAGCTCCGGTGCTTGATTTGAAAACAAAAAACAAACCACTGCACTAGACTTAAACGTGAACAACAATGATTTTGGTGACTTGTATTCAATTTGCATAATAACTGTATTCTTGCTATTTATTAAAAGGTTTTTTTTACCACGTATGGTTGAAGAGCTTTACTTCACTACATTATAAAAAGTATCCAGTTCAAACAAGTTAAATAAGTAGGTTAAATTCCCGTCACTAGTGGGTTTCCATCTTTATGCACCACCCTGTATATCCCCCTCGCAATCACTTTTAGAGTTTTGCATCCACGATGCGCTTCTGTTGTACATCCACTATTTCTCTTTTATATCTAAGCACGCTTCCGACGTTCCCTGTTGATGGAACCACCCTTTGGTCTTGATATCGAGTTTTGACAGCGTATCTGAAAAGAGTGGTAAGGTATAAAGCTCTAAGCCAAATTTACCTTTTTCTATGGTTATTAGGCCAAGCAGATCGGTGTTTATAACCGATCATATCCGCAATCGAAATAATTGGGGAAATTGACAAATAAGAAACAAACTCTTCCAGTAAATCGACAAGATCGATCGACCTCGTATTTGGTCGTGACATATCTGGACCAAAAATCCGCTGGACTTAAAAAAAGAAAGTACCCGGTATAAAGTGAATATGGCCTTCATCTCCATGGAATGAGATGGCATTTTACAAGCACAAACATATGTTGGTAATTAGATTGAGTGAATCAAACATGAAAAAAGAAATGACATCAAGTCTGACGGAACTCTTTTATAGACATATCGTCTGTAGGTAAATGGTGCGCAAGGCCTATAGGGGAAACGAGCACCGTGTATAGGAAATAGTATTCTGCAGGAAATGAAAAACACATTGGATGCCTAAAGGGTTTGACCAATGACTCGCAGAAAAAAAACCTTTTTGAATGTTTCTTAATTCAGGAACTTTCATGTGTCAGTCCTGAATTTCGACAACACAGAGCAATATTACTCATGACAACTCAGCCCCTTTTCCAAAACCTTTATTTCAATGGACAAAGACTTCATTGTTGAAAAGGATTTTTTTCTTGGAGTGATATAGCGACGCCAAATATGGCGAGCATTAATGTTCAAATGCTACTTGAAATCCCTCCACTGATTTCTCACCCTGCTCAAGTACCTGTCTTTAAAGGTATACCTGTTTTTAAAGGTATACCTACCCTTTGAGGGTGCCTATCCTTTGAAAGGTATACCTTACCTTCGAAGGTACCTAACCTTTGAATGTACCTAACCTTTGAAGGTACCTAACCTTTGAAGGTACTTAACCTTTGAAGGTAACAAATGTTTGAAGGTACCTAATGTTTGAAGGTACCAAACCTTTGAAGGTAGTCCCTAACCTTTGAAGGTACCTAATGTTTGAAGGTATAATGTTTGAAGGTACCTAACCTTTGAAGGTGCCTAACCTTTAAAGGAACCTATTATTTGAAGGTACCTAACCTTTGAAGGTACCTAACCTTTGGAGGTAACAAATGTTTGAAGGTACCTAATGTTTGAAGGTACCAAACCTTTGAAGGTATAGTCCCTAACCTTTGAAGGTACCTAATGTTTGAAGGTATAATGTTTGAAGGTACCTAACCTTTGAAGGTGCCTAACCTTTAAAGGAACCTATTCTTTGAAGGTACCTAACCTTTGAAGGCGCCTAACCTTTGAAGGAACCTATTCTTTGAAGGTACCTAACCTTGGAAGGACCCTGAAACTTTGAAGGTACCTATAACCTTTGGAAGTACCTAACCGGTTGTTGACCTCCCATCTTGCCTCGACTTAGCAAGAAAATGCTCCAATGAATCAATTTCAAATTCGCTCCGGGAAATGCGTCTTAAGGCATGAGTCTCGATGTCTTGAGGAGATTTGCAAAGCCTAGGCTTCGCCTCCGGCTTCGGGTTTATCTCTGGATTCAGAATCAGTTAGAAGCCTTGAATACCCCCAAACCAAAGGCCAATATCCATTAATAAAGCCTTATCTTCGTGGGATTTAATGTTCCTGTAGCAGACTATATTGACTCATTCTGACGTTGGAGTCTCTCAACCCAACATCTCGTGACGCCACAGCCGACCATAAACACGAAGTTTCAGACCTCTACAATAAGTAGCAGGCAGCCGTGTTAGTCAGACAGAAACACATAGAAAAGTAGGGAAGCATTTAAAATTACTAGCAGGAATAAAAGTTTACATAAGCTTTTGCAGTTGCAACTATACTACTCCATCAGGTGCGTCATCATGCAAGGTTAATACACAGTCTAAACAAAAGAATAATCAAAACACTCCATCTACACTATAATTTCACAGGTAATATCAATCGATGTGAACAATGTGGCGGCAACATGCCATGTCTTTTGCAAGGCATGGCGCATACGACATTCGCACCCATGCATGGCAGCGAAACCACAGGGGATTGGTACGCAAGTTCAACCCCCTTCTAACTCGCACCAACCGAAAATGATAAATCTGGGTCGCAGATGCCCAGATAAAAAAAAACTGGAGCTGACCCGGTAAATGATTTTGTTTTCATAAACCACATGGCGCAGATGGTGCTATACTGATGTCCCGTGGTCGGCTGGTATAATAAAGAGAAGCAGGTAGCTCAGCTTCCCCCCAAATGTATTAAAGTCAATGTTGAACTCCACGTGTGTATTTTTCAGTTTCTCTGTTAATTTCAGCAAAATAATTTTAAAGTTCAGTTGATTGGTATCATTTTAAAACAAATGGTTACTGGGTCAGAAGGTCTCGAATTTTGATGCCTAAGCCGTTGGAGTGAATGGTTGTGCCTTTCCTAACCCAGGTCAAAAGTTAAGGTATTAATATTATGTATAAAGTCCAAAACTGTAGGGTCTTACCCGTTAGAGTAAGAGCATAGCACACAGAAGGGGCTTAAAATAAAAGGTTTCATAAAAGAAAACTTACCAATACAGCTATAGCCGTTACTGGCGACTCGCATACCTTCCGGGCAGATGCACATGACGTAATAGCGCCCCCGCTCCTGACATCCGTAGGAACAGCGCATAGACTCGCACCGCCTGTCATCTGCCGGTATTAAAAAAAAAAATAATTCGTCGTTTCATCAATGAATGAAACAAAGTAGCACCAAAGGTTAACAATTTGACCCCCAGATATTCAAATTAACATCAGTTTTCCTCAAATGGAAAAGTTAAGTGCTGATTTAGGATCCGTTACTATGTGGACGAGTAATGTTCAACTTGATGTATTGTGCTCTACCGCAAATTCTGTTGATGAGAACTTGTTCAATGCACTTTTGTTATTCAATATTTACCATTCATCGCCTATTCTGAAAATCAAGTGAAGTGCATTATCGCAAGGACCAGTGATTTCAAGTTTCGAAAACAACAACCTAGCCAAAATCACGATAGACAAAAAAGTGGTATTGCTTTGTGTCGAAAGCATCTGGGGAAAAAAGAGCCCAATCCAGCAAGCTGCTTCCACCTGGGAAAAGCATTAAATGCAGCTTCATTATAGAATCGTCCAGGGATACCAAGCGAGGTTGTAAACGCCGTCACACTCGCTTTGCTAAAGAAAAATATAATTCCGAGATATCACAACCGCGACTGAGAACTTAACCACATTTCCTGTTGGTATTATAACACTTAATGGGCCTCCCTTGGTCCTATGTAAGTGTCTTTACAGTTTATACATTGTGGTGTAATATAATACATTTTCCTGTTTGATCCGACCAGGCGTGATCGAGCCGGTCAATTTCAACAAACTGTCACAACTGTTTAAAATTGTACCAATTTTTTTTTCAAATAGGAATGTGTATTCGATGGGAATTTCTTGGTACTGCAGTGGCCGACCAGAGATGCATTTACGCCCCCGCGGGAAACATCTAAGCCCGCCAGGTGCGAGTAACGATGCAAGCCAGGCTCTCAATTACACCCATCGTGTCCACTGGGACCTCCCATTAAATGTCTGAGGTTCACCCCTAACGCGTACAACGAGAACAAAAAGGAGAGAGACATCAACGGCACATTTAATACGGTGAACTGTTCCCGCGGGAAGACTTGTTACATACTTGCTGGGTCCCATCACGGCGTGCTCTGATCTAACTCAGGGGAGGGATTGTTGGCTGGAGGGTTCGGCTGCACTTCCAGCCCTCACAACATGAATGTTGCGGTAGGGATTTACATAACGACTAGGCGTGAAGAAGACCTACGTGGTAGAACCGGTTGACATTCCATCATGTCAAAACGTGCGTTTACTCTGAGCGATAGAAAAACAATTTGTTCGTACCCTTAGGGCACGACCGTCAGATGAAATTGAAATGTGAGAATGTGGCGCCAACCACACATTTTCCTAGCACTAGGTCTCCGAGCAGTAACAAAATCCATGTTGAGTTTTCTCGGTCAAAGAGGGTCAGTCAAGTGTCCTCTTTGTACTTATCTCAGTGACTATAACTGACTCAATGACTGACGGTTTCTTGTTAACCGGGCAGTGCTGTCGTATAGGATTACCCTGTAACTCCAATGACTTGGCAAATCTGGCCCATCGAGTAGATCAGATACCTGAAGCCATTGTGAATCGATTCACGAATGTTATATGCACTCTGACAGTTTTGCTTAGCTTTTGCTAATTTTTTTTTTAAATTCTGATAATAGAATTGAAATCAGAGATGAGCTCCTGGATATAAATACCGTCTGGAACAGTAGAGACTTTGTGAACGCATTCAGGCTTCCCCAAGGCCTCAATTTATCACTAATTTACTTGCAATTAGTGCAGACTATTACTTGGAGGGAAATGCGCAGTTTCAAAGAAACGACCGTCGAATCCGAAGTTCAGGCGCAAGACATCACTGGCACCTTTACTCGCGGCGTTCCCTTTGGTGCCAGCCGAGCGTCTGTAATTTGAATTTGCTGACAGATTTAGAATCTGCGAAGCGACAAACAATTCGTGTCGACTGTCAAGAAGCTGTAAAACTTTAACTTCAACTATATATAGAGTTAGGACCCAGCTTTATGCTTGGACGCACCGGTTCTGTACCCAGAATTAACCTCCACTGGTAGAAAACGATTTTCTGGTAGACTTGCCTGTCAGCTTAAGTCCACAACTTTTAATTGCTATATAAAGGTTTTATGCATAAAGTTGTTTTTAAGAAGACCTTTTAAGCGAGACCACATTACGGTTTACATCCTTAAAAATAAATATAATTTTTTTTCTTGAAATGCCTTGTTTAACAAGGACTGAAGATATATACTATGTTTATTTTTTCCTTTAAACCCGAAAGCCAGTCATCCGGTTTGTGTTTAATAAAACTCCCGGGTTTCGGGCCTGGGTATCTTAATTAAAATTATCTTGGGTTGATACAGACCAACCGTTACGATGTCACGCCGAGCTCCTCGGTCTGTATACCGAGGTACCTGGACGAAGATGCCTAACTCTCATCAAATTCAAATGGAAAACCTATCAGCTAAGACTGAGAGCTTGTTGAAATCAAGACACAGGACAGAATCACACCTAATCAAATCTTCGTCATTTTTTTTTTGCAATTACTGTTTTGCAAACTCCTTGAAATTGGCCTAAGTTGTTAAAATGGGGCTAAAACTTGAAGTTGTTGTATATATACTGAGAACCATTTTCTCCAAACGAAGGCTCAAGTTTGTTTGACTACCAATCAATTACAAAGTAGGTCCTAACACTCAAACACACCAGTCAAATTTCGGAGCAGGTGTAAGAGGACACATTCTTTGTAATTTCAAAAATGTAACGACACATATCCTTAAAATCGGGTTAAAACTTTCAGTTCCGGCCCAATGCTTAGCATTCGCAATATGGCAAAGGATTTGCTTCAGAGAGTTTCCTCCATGTAATAATCTCGCCAATATAAGGTCAGCGGTGTAACACGTCTCGTAAGATTGGCTATGCGTGCAATCAAAAAAGAAGAAAAAGATACAAATCTTATTTATTTTTCCAATTTGGAGACTATGCATGCAGCTCATAAGACTTGCCAACTGTGACTTGACAAGATACAAATGAAGCCTTCGGGTAGTGAGACATTGGTGTTTTTACAACTGCTCCAAACTATGAGACCTCAATGTCGTCCGGCCTCAATGTACCTTGGAGATGACATTTGATTGATAGGAACTGGTAAATGATTGCCTAATTAATTAAACTGAAGGGCGTCTTTGGCACTTGCGGGATACGCTACGGGATCACAGTCATTTATTAAAGAGGAGGTGTCAAATGTACCTTGAAAAATCACGATTGATTGACGTCGCCTGGTAAATGATTGTTTAATTAATTAAAAAAGGAATTGCACGCTTGATGATATTGTTAATATTGCTAATGTTCCAAAGTCCCGAGCGAAAACAAAAATACATATTGGCATGTTTTTTGTTTGTCCGTTCTAATGGGTAAAAACAAACGATGCTCAACGGTGACCTTTTTAGTGACTTTGAAGTGTCGAATGTACCTTGAAACAAAAAAGAATGATTGATGTCGTGTGGTTGATTGTTTATGTAATCAAAAGGAACTGCATGATTGACAATATTCATTACGAAGCTTATTAAGTTCAAATCTCAGCGGAATTTCATTTTAGCATTTCCTGATCTGTCCTACAGACGATCGATCGGTAGAACAAGTCCGCTACTCAATTAAAAAATAACCTTCTTACTTTCAAGCTTTTCTCAATTTATTTTGTAACGAAAAAGATCAATCACAATAAAAAATAACGGCAAACGATTGTGCTCACAGCTGGGTTGCTTTAACTTGAACATCGCCTGACTAAAATGTCATTGGTCGTGTTACTGAACAGAACAGCGAAATAAAACCTCCAGTCTGTAATCTGTTTACATTATTTAATTTCACATCATGACCTGTTCAATTTTCTGTGACAGGCCTGCAGGAATTGAGTGGCTGCGTTGCCTCTGTCAGACTCGCTCTGCCGAAATTGCACTTTGACGGATAGATTAGCCTGTCCGACATTTTTTACCGTGATCAAAAACAAAAATTGCAGAAGGAAACACCTGGCCCTGTCCTTTCACATTGGCTGTTTATGTTGAAAATTGCTCTGTTTTTCCCAGTATTGCTGTTTTGAGGGAACCTAATCGGTCCCTGTATGTTGAGGCAACCAAAATTAAATCCACATTACACTGTTTTCATTCAATTAAAAATGTTTTCTTTATTTCAGGATTGTAGGTAGATACGATGTCGGTTGAAACATACTACAAAGGGGTTGTTTTCGTAAAGTTTAAACCACGTGGTGGTTTAACTACTTGCTAAATTGGGAAATCACTTTCCGTTTTACTTTGTATGACATTTTGCCGACAAGCATTACTTGTTTTATGAACGAGAAGACATGTGACATTGTGGCACCGGAACGAAAGTGTGTACTCTAAAACGTGCCGGTCAGATTTGAACCGGAACTGGGTTTTGTTGTGGGGCCTGACATTTTTCCGTGTCAAAAGTGACACTTTTCGGTGTCAAAAGTGACACTTTTCCGGGTCAAAATGGCATTTTTCCGTGTCAAAAATGACACCTTTTCGGGCCTCAAATGATACTTTGCCGGGTCAAAATGGCACTTTTCCGTGTCAAAAATGACACTTTTCTGGGGTCGAAACGACACTTTTTTTCGTGTCAAAATGACACTTTTCCGTGTCAAAAAGACACTTTCAGACTTTTGAAACTGTCAGGCCCCACAGAAAGCGGGTTCCGGTTAAAAGCGTTTAACAGTTCCATGATTAAAATGAACAAAAACACCAGATCTGCTCCAAAAAAATCCTTGCATTTTATCTTTAACAAAATATGAATAACCAAATAGGTACCTGACTAAGGCAAGTTCTTCCCTTCATTTACCTTTCAAAACGTATTCATGTGATGCACGATCATGAATTGAGAGGCCTTGACGGAACTTTGAAGTGCTTAGTTTGATATCATAAACATACTTACACATGCAAGAGCTCTTATCGCTCCGGAGCGTGTAGCCCTCTTCACAGTAGCACCGGTAGCTGCCCATGGTGTTCATGCAGCGGTGCTGGCAAGGCCGGCTACTGCATTCATTGACGTCTAAAAAAAAGAAAGATAAAGGACACAAAGAATGTTAAGAATGAATGATTATGTTTCTGGAAATACGGTTATCTTCATCTGACAACATTGTGGTCAAGGGGAGACCTTTCAAGTGCTACTTTTCTCAACTAAGAGGCACATTCTTCATGAGAGTGTCATCAAGATACGAAGAGGTTGAGCAGGAGGAAAGGGTAAAGTTTCTCAGAGTTGTATACCTCATGGACTAAAAACTTGTTGAAAAATTAGATCGCTAATCAAAACTTGATGTTGAAAGTGGTACAACCATTAATGAGCGGAAGGACACAATTTGGACACGCGTATCATTAAGAAAATGAATTATCTAAGTTTTTGCGAGAAAGGATGCAGCCTCACCTCTACTATAATTAGGTCTTAAATCAATTCCTTAGTTATCGGCATCAAAAAGCAAAACAATCAACACATGTAACACTTTATAATTAAGAACAGACTGCTCTGTGGTTTGAAGATGCACAGGCAGGATTTACTACCAAGGAAGCGCAGCAATCTTTATCTAATCTTTATCGCAAGTTATTTCAAGTGTTTGAATCTCGTTAGGGAAGTCCAGAATTTACGGCAAAGGGGAAATATCCTAAGTCAGAAAATCCTTCGGGAGTGTGGCGCATCCATTCAACTCTTCTTGATGTTTCTTATGGAGTGACAGCAGACGCCATCACAGTTACTCTTCCATATTATTTTGCTTGGAACGACAAACTGAGGATCGCAACTAATGCAAGTAAAATCATGTTTTAATTAGTTCGGACAAACCCACGCAGTGTTTGCACTCTGTGTTTATTCCAACAGGGAATATAGAGTCCATCAGGGATTTAGTGAGCGGGTAACTGTCGAGCATCCTGTTTACCATTTTAAGTCCTCTGTGACAACATTCATGTATACAACATTTTTAAAGAGGTCAACTGAATCTGATCGAATCAAGTAACGAAATTAGTAGAGAGGGATTGATAGCTGTTAGCGTGCTCAACATGGTAAGGTGTCTTTAACAGTTACTGAATGAGAAGCAGGCCAGTTCCTGTTTGCTTAAAACCACACTGCTCTGGTCGGGAGACCAACAGCTCAGTTTCGTGAAGGCACTTAGCGGAGGAAAGAAGTGAACCCTCCTGAAATAAAATAACAGACTCTGGCCAAGTCTGGAGGAAAAACACTCGGGCAGAAAATAGCACAAACTTGGAAATGGGTTATTATATCAAATAATTCGGGACGGTTAAAAGGTGCTTTTCTCACAGGTTGCCAGACGTGACTTTTTGAACCCTATTTACAATTACATCCCTCGAAGACTTTTTTAGAGACCTATTAGCGACATGCACAATGTTGTTTTGGGTTTTTTTCTGGTGGATTTTTTTGACCACGGCTGGTTCCTATCACTCAAAGCACTGGCAGTATGATGGGGTCGGCTGGTACTTTGTGGCAGCCATAAAGTGGCTGTATGATTCCGACGGGGGGATTCTTACAAAAGTGTGCTTTGACAGAACTTTGACCCCAACAAGTACATTCGACTTTCTGTTGTTCTCGTACGGAGGGATTTGAGGAATCCACTAAACTTGGGTTCGCACAAAATGAGGTCACATAAACACGTCCAATAGTGACTGGATTCACTGGAACATCGCTGTTCAGCAAAAGCAAAACTCGAAAGAGCTGGAATTTGTTTTCCGGAAATAAAACTCACTTGCCAATGGACTACGCATCTCTTTTAACAATAAGACAGGACCTATGTTCAGTTGTCTCCTTTAACTTATTAATAGTTTTCTCCTGAAACTTATTAACAATTGTCTCCTATACTCAAGTTTTTGAAAGATACATTGTGACAATAAACATTTAAACATTACTCAATTGTTGGGGATAGGCAGTAAAGCAAATCAGGTACCCATGGAAAGCTACACCTGCTCCAAAGGTATCATATTGCGGAAAGGCTCTTGAACTCATGCTCTGAAATTTCATGTACTGCACGCATATCCTCCTAGTCCTAATGGTTCTCGTACATACAAAGGCCTTGGGTTGCTGCACCTTTTAAAGGCCATTAACTGGACACTGCAGGAAGCAATCAATCGCCAATGACATTGTTCGTGGTAACCAAATTGTTCCGATATTAGGTGACGTTATGTGACCTTGTCGGTAGTTCGCTTTGACTGTAGCAGCAAAAAACACGATGCTGAAGTCAGAATCGAAAATGGTTGAGTACCTTCGGCAAGACAAGAGATACCAAGATGCAATTATTAAGTCATTAAAGTTTTCACCTGTTTGGAATTGGATTATTGCGTTCGCGTCATCGTGATTCGAAGATGATTTAGGATCAAGCAGCGTGCAACGTGAAATCAGTAGAACTAACTCTTACTAACAAACAATAATGGAATGCGAGTCTAGTTGAAAGCCAAAACTGTCGGTGTGTGTTTTCCGCATAGTTGACATGTTGAATGAAAAGAGTGTATGGTATCTCACTTCTCATTCTTCGTCTTAAATACATCGGAAAAAGGTTCGTGACTCTAATTGAAAGTTGAAACCAATTTTGTTCAAAGACCCAATTAAATTTACGAGCTTCTAAGACTGATCTTACACATCTCCTCCAACTTAGGGAAGCAGGATATGAATGACTTAAAACAATGGGATCCAGTGAAAAGACTCGGGAAGAAAGATAACGTTGATCCACACGGGTCGAGGTCAACAGGTGGGCCGGGTATTTAATGCCTCAGACGGATTCGTCTGGCCGTGACATTAATTTCAGCTTCCCGGTAGGAACCTTTGCACGAGCAGTCGTTTACTAGATAACTAATGCGGGCCAGGCAGACCTTGCTGCCCCGTGTTTGTACCGGCTGAGATTTTAGGTTCAAGCAAGGTAGTCAGTATTTGAGGCTAAATTAGGGCCTGTTCTGTCATGATACGGTGATGCTAGGACAGATAATGGTGTAGAGTCTCGGGCAGAGTTGAGGACGTTGACTGCAGGGTGCCAAAGGCAAGAGCATCGGGGGTAGCATAACAGGGAAAAGGCCGCCAAATTCTCCCACGTTTTAATGTTTTCAAACTCACGTTTCTAAACTTCGGCTTCGCTCAGGAATCGGCTACAAAGACAGCTTCAAGCTGCTTGAGGGCGGCTCCGGCTCAATATCATAGGTCCATGTTATGTTATCAGGAACAGGTACACCAAGTGTTCAATAATATGCCAACAATTAGACAACAAATGTCCATTTGGTTTGGGTTTCAAGGCTTCGAAATGATTTTGAAGCCGGAAACGCAGTAGCCGTGGTTTCGAAAAACTCTCACAATGTCACAACTTACGGGTAAGTGCTGTATTTTCTGTGGTGCAAGGAAAGAACAGCGGGAGAATCAAATGCTACTCTCTAATGTGATTGAAATTTGCTAAGAGGAAATACGCTCCTGTAGAGAAACGCAGAGAGACAAATTATAAATTCCAATGATTTCATTTAGGGAAAGCAGCACTTGCTTAGCATCATGTGGTTTGAGCTATATTCAGATTCAAATGCGGAATCTATGGATACAATTTTTGAAGAGCCGATGACAGGTGCATGGTAGAGCATACTGCCCATGATTTAATGTAGTTTAATCAGAATGTCGACTGCGCCAAAATAAAACAACAAATCATAGATCAAGACATACGATCAGTTTATCGTATGCCAAGGCTGCAACGAGAGTGTACTTGAAAGTGCTCCAGTACGTGACGATATGAAGGCCGCTGTGTTGCATGCTGTGTTTAGTAATACCATGCCAGAAAGTCGCAGATGTCGAAGTTTTTGGTCAAGCTCAACACATCAGACATTGAACCTTAAGCTAAATGAGATTTGGGGCTGTATGGTTGAGTGTGCAGCTTGGGGGATAATTTTTCGGATATTAAATGCATGGAAATAGAATGCTCAATGTGAAGTGAGAATCTAAAATAGAAAAGGCATGGTTCTGAGACCTAGAAGGTCGACGTTTCGATCAGTATGTTATGACCATCATCAGCAGAATCCATCGTAGGTTGTTCAAATCAACGTCGCTGTTCTAAATCTATTGCACTGGTACATGTACGTTGTAAAACTCAAGAAAGCCCCAACAGATATAAAGGAACCAATATATTGGTTAGTATATTGTTAGAGGGGCCACAACTTGAGTACTGGAGCTTACAGTTCGATATAAAATATTCCCGGGTACCTGTGTCGGGAAACAACATCCAAGAGCAAACATTAAGCCATCCCTTTTCCAACACGTCACCTCCCTGAACCCCACACCGGAGAAAATGGGTAGGTGTTTGTCAGGTCAGCGACCTCTGCGGGGCCGGGGCGACCTCAGGGTCGGCCCCCTTACAATTAGCAAGATTGTTTGGGTAAATGTATCGCTTGAGCTGAAAGAGCCGCCTGATTTCTGTCGGATGAGAGGGGGAGAAGTGGGTCCACGAGTTTGCACCAACTCCATGGAGTTCGTCTGTCAACTGCGCGTATCGACCCATCACGACGGTGAGGGCTGAAGAGGCGGTCGTCGGGCCAGACGCCGCTCAGCATCCCCCCCCCCCGCCCCCTCGGCACACTGCGCCTCGGTTTGTTGACATACGAGATCTCGATACCATTCAAAAGTGCGGGACTGATTACTCTGAATGTGGTGTTAGTCTAATAATACAGTCTAGAGGAAACAGAAATCTGGCTGGCTATAATAAAAGGTTCAAATGTTTGCCAAGGACTTGAGAATTTTTGAGGAAATGGACGTTTATTTGGGTTAATAAGATCAAAGGTCCTTTTTTGGCATACGTGTTAGATTTTTCCATTTCAAAATGCCAACTTGGCTGACATAAACTGAATGAGATATTGAAGCAGGTAAAACAATTTATAACATAGGTATGTTGTTATAAATTTGGCTCAACATCAGATAAATTTGACAAGTAATAATCTAGTGAGAATGCAAACAATGAAGGAGACTAAAACAAACTTAACTAGACATTCTGACGACAGGGTACTTTGACTGAGATAATAATATATGAGGAA